TGACAGCTGCTTAGTGCTGTCACTGCACAGTGATGAAGGTTACAGTCCTACAGTCAATTAGTTTCCAGGAGTCAAACAAAGCAGATTTTTTTTTTTTTTTTTTTTAGCATGAGGGAAGTCCTTGTGGAGACTAAATCTGCTTCCCACGACTAGCAACCAACCACATGGCGCCATGGGCTTGTAAGTTGCACTATTTCCCATTGGGAATATATCTATACCTCATATATAGAAAGAAACTATGGCTCAAAGTCCTCATGTTGGGAAAACTCAAAACTTCCCCATTTGCAGAATATGTCCCACTAGAGACACAGCAGATAGATCCAACCCACAAGAATCTGGAATCCTGAATATGCCGTCTTCAGAAACACTGAAGAACCTTTGGATTATATCTAAGACCCTATCTTTTCATTCTCTTTTTTACACTTGTTGTAGGGATGTTATATTTTGCCTGCATGAGATTTTATATATATATATATATATATATATATATATATACACATACATACACACACACACACACACACACACACACACAATTTTGTGTATGACTTAGCAGTATCAAAGTCTCTCCAAGAACAAAGCATGTTTGTCATTCATTTTTCTTTCAACCATTTCATTCCGTCTGTGAAATATGGTGTTATGGATATAATAATGCCAATAATGGGAGAAAATACAAACTGGAAGAATAATCATTTTTTCAATCAATCACCCATTATCTGATATTCCCAATGTGACACATTATTTACCATTATTTTGTTGACTGACTTAACTATGTATTATTAACGCCCCCCCTATTACTGGCAATTCCACAAACCTCATGAACTACCTTGCCAGTCAATGATTGAAAAACAAATCCTCTACTCTATCCACAAAATCTTTGTTAAATTTTTATCTTTCTTGCTTTACTTTCTTCAAATTGTTAATGTTTAACCTTCATACCCACAGAAAAACAGTGTGCCAAAAGGATGGTTATTCCCTTGACACCCCTATTACTTTACACTTTTGACCCCATCATTATTTATAAGATTATAAAAATGTTAAACAATGAATATCACATTTTACTTGGTTATCTTTTATAAAGATTTATTTACCATTTTATAAAGAAAAATTTAAACTTTTCAGAAATTTATAAAAAAAAATTACAAAATTATCAAAATATGTAAACCAACTACAATGCAATAGTTGCAGTAAGTTAATTAGACATCCTGTAATTATATACAAATAAAACTTTCTCCATCTAATGAAGAGGGGAAATTCACACTGAAAATGTTGAGCGTTTGTCTCATCTAAAATTAAAAAAAATGTTTGATTCAAAGATAGCTCTCAAAGTGAATTCAAATGGCGAGAGCAAATAAAAGAAATCATTGGAAAATACATTTTTTCAAAATTTATAATTACTTACTCATGTTTATTTAAATTTTTTTGTATACACACATTTTTATAAATTTATGAATTAAAAGAAAAAAAATTTCATAATTATTTCTTTATAAAATCAAATATTTAATTAGATTTTTAAAAAAAAAAAAAAAAGTCACTTCCAAACAAGACACTAAAGCTCCTAAAATGCAAGGTGGTTACAGAGTGCGGAAGAATCAGGAACAAACAGCAACATTAATGAGCAGAAAGTAAAAAGGATGACAGTAGATTGACATCGCATTTAAATTTTTGAAGATCAAATTTGGCTGGAAAGCATGGAGCCAGGATGGAGTTCTAAAGTGAGAAATGCAAGAAAAATTGTTAGCATAGAACTTACGGCTACATCTAGCCAGCTGAAGTGCAAATTAATGTGATCTCAACACCAATCTAGTACTGCACTTAAATTCATAAAGTCTAGATACCATAGCAAAGAACTCATTTGATAATTATCATGAAAGTATAAAAAAAAAAAAAAAAAAAGGCACAGTGAGGTAACTTTATAGCAGCAGGTAAGTGACTAGAGTTGAGCAATAAGACCAATAATATTGCTGACACTTCTTTGGATCCTATCAAGGAGCTCAAGGTAAATAGCAGGAGCACCAGACCATATACAGCAGCAATATTCCAAGCATGGGTGAATGGTAGGCATCATTATATATATATATATATATATTCTGGAGAAAAAAAAAAGTGTCTCACATATTTTTATAATCTTGTAAATAAGCAATCTAATAAATAAATAGTGTTTAATGTTTGTTGCCAATTTTCAGAAACAAAGAAAATATATAAATCCATTTTCGTGTTTGGATTTTATTAAAATTCTAATCATTGCTTTTTAAGAATAATAAAAATTGCTGAGGGAGTGTTTTGTTGGTTTGTTTGGTTTTACAGTTTATCAACCCTTCATGGTTCCTTTAAAATGGAGACATACTTATATTTCATATTTTTTTTTTTTTTTTAAATTATGCCCAATCATATGGTATCAACTACTTTGCTTGGTTTAGATAAGTTTTTTTTTTTTTTTTAAGGTTTATATTTTTTTTGGTATAAACCTCTTTTGAGAAATGATATAACATCTTTCATCCTTGCTCTTTCAAAGAGCTCTCTTATGTTGTTTATATTGAAGAAAGTTTTCCTAGATGGAGCAAAAAAGCAAGTTTAGTCATAGTAATGTCAAGTGGAAAACTCCTTTTGACACTTTTTTTGGAGGCAGGCACAAAGGTTAAACATTGCTGATATCTTTCTACAGTCATCTTGAACATTTCAGCCATTTCATCCTCATAAGACATGGCCACTAAAAAATGTCACACTTTTTGAGCTAGTTCTCTTCAGGCATACATGCCCCCCCACACACACACACACACTCACTCCCAGAGTTTTTCCATATGCTATTGGAGAAAGCAAAAAAAAAAAAAATTGTCTTAACAGTGAGATATAATTGATACAAAAGTCCTTGAACATTTTTTTCAACCACACACCAACATCTCTTATGTTAAGCAGGGTTTAAGACTATTTTAACAGGGCCATGCTCCTGGTTAGAGTAATACCAGTGCATAGAAAATAGTATGGAGAGACTTGATAATTCTGAGCAAGGGAGTAGTGATATTAGGAGAAAATATGGTAAAGTGGTTAATCGGATTGAAGTCTGATGGAGAAAAAAAAAAAGTTCAGTTTAAAAATATTAACTTAAACACATAAAATACTTATAGGGGTGCCTTGAACTCAAATTAAACTAAATAAAATTTAGTAATAGTCAGCATAACTGATGCCTATGGCCCAACTCCATAACACCCAAAGGAAGTTGGCATGACATGACATGACTAATGAGTTTACCACAAGTCCAGAGGATTTCCAGTTGCCCTTGAATTTGTTATTACAGCAACCAATTTGTATTTACATTGATTTCCATGTAGATTTTAGAAATTTAAAAATCCACACCCAAACTGAAAATACTTCATAGATGGCCAACTGGGTTATTCAACAGGAGGTTCTTTGTTTGAGAATCGAATTAATCTTGTCTAATTCTTGGATGGAAGTCTATATTAACAGAGTACACATTCCCTGAAATCAGACAGTTGAATTGTCAGAGATAACGAAAACTGGCATTACTCAATGGTAGAAAAGGAGTGATTGGAACAAAACAGCCCCATCACTGTTGTACAATTTGACATTTCACCTTTAATTAAATTGTTGATAATTTTTCAGTGTTGTTTCTTATGTTGGCAGATTTACATTTTCTTTCAGCAACATTGCCCAATATTGAAGAAACAGCAAGTGAAATCTCACTCTATGGAAATAAAGATTAATGTAAAATATTTCATATATATATATAAATTAAAGAATATCAAACACTTAAAAATCACATAGGTAATAATTTTAATTTCATGAGCTAAAAAAAAAAAGAAAAAAAAAAAAAAAATGATTTGTTTGTAGGTCTTGAAGGTTGAGAGCTGCTTTAAAAATTACTACCTATGGGATTTTAAGTGTTTGATATTCTTTAATTAATAATAATTTTTCTGTCTTTTGACAGAGCTCTCCCTGGATCTATATCCTCCTGGAAATTCCATACAGATTACCATAATTATATATATATATATATATATATATATATATATATATATATGTGTGTGTGTGTAGTTAATTTGATGTTAAATCAATGGGTGGATTTTAGCTGAAATTAATATAAATCATCATCATAGAGAAGTGCATATGTAGTTGTGGGTGTTTAATGATAATTGACAAAACACTGCTGGAGTGAGTAAATTGAAGGCAGCAGCATATATTGTTTGGTTAATACTGTTTCAGCAACATGGTTTTGTTTGATTGGTAAGAAAAGTATTGCAATTCATTGATGCATCAATTGGAAGTGCTTAGATACATTTGTGATGGCAATAGGTCGGTCTGTGCATCTAACATTGCTGAAATGAATCGATCAGGTTGGTAGATTTTATTTAAGAAAGAAAAAAAAAAAAAACACTGCAAAGTTAAAAGCAGTAATAATCATACCAAATTCAGAACCATTAAAAAAAATCATTTTAATTAACTTTCCTTCTAAAAAGGATTTTTTTTTCTTCATTTCATTCATCTTTCTCACTCTCATTTTATTTGTTTATTTTTTATGTGATTCGGTTACTTTATCACCCATTCCCATTATTATCCCCTCCCCTAACCCCCAACATTCCCTAATTTTCTCCCCATCTTTTCCTGGAGGGAAGAAATGAAGCGAGTGGGGAAAAAAAAATTGTAAAACCCACCTACAACTTCTTTTATTAAGTTACTGTTCTCACTTGAGTTTTTAGTTTTGTTTCATTTGTGTGAGTGTGTGTTCATATAACTCAAGTTCTCCTTACCAGGTACTTTTTTTCTTTTTTTTTTGTGTGGCAATTCAAGATATTTCCTTAAAACAAAAAACTGATGGTACTGACAACACAAAGTTCAGTCCTGCTGTTTTGCTCTTTAGCTGTTCACCCCCTCAACCCTCATGCCACACTCATGTTTTTTTTTGTTTTTTTAAACTTTGTTTTTAACTACCAATCACTGGATTTCTACTCAATGTTTATAACCCAATTGTCCACTATATTCACTCCTGGTTTGCGTATCACTAAAACTTTGGTCTCTGTGAAATATTGAGAATCAAGATCTTGTGGTGCACCACCTGAAATTAAACAAAAAGTGAAAGTAAAATTGTGGTAACAATTTTAAAAAGGTCAATACATTTTTATAAGTACTGTATTTCCTGTCATATATCATAATAGTGCAGGATACCACTATGAGACTAATAGTTAAATTTTCTTGTATGACACACAAGTCTTTGATGACCCCAGAACAAAACATGATTATAAATAATTATGATTACAAGTTAAATACAACAAAGGCAACAAAAAAAAAAAAAATAAATAAGTAAATAAATAAATAAAATTGGCGGCAAAACACAAACATTACTGACTTTTCAAAATGAAATAGTTGAAGTCTAGTGACTGATAATCTGTACCCAATTTGCTCATTGTTCTCAGTATCTGAGAATTAATCCCTGATATCAATGGCTTTTCTGGTCAGCCACCAAGAATATGCCACCTTTGGTCATGTACTGTATCCTGTGGGTATAGACTCTTCCATGCAGCAAAGTCTCTGGTGATCTATTTAAGACATTCTACAGGATTTGTACTCTTTGAGAGGTGCATTATATTTGGCATGCAAGAGCTGCTAAAGATGGGCTTGTCATACCTAATTTGCATTCTATATTAACAGGAACATTATATTGTGCACCATTATCATTAATTTCAATTAGAAAATAAGCAATGTATATTGTATAGAAGGTTTGGGAGACAGTTACTATAACTTTTTAATGCACTCCTCTGAGAGTCCTGACTTTTGAGGAAAACAGCATATTGTAGAGGACCACTGAAGGCGGTATACTCTTGTTGAGAGGAAGGACAAAAATTTTAACTTATATGGTTACACACAGCTGTATGTGAAGCAAAAAAAATAAAAAGTTTTTTTTTTTTTTTTTTTTTTCCTTGGCCTGCAGACAGGGCGTGCGCGCAAGAGAGAGCAAGAGACAGCATGTATGTGAGACATGCAAATATTTAACCAATAGAATCTTCAATGATTATTGTTAATACATACAAAATGTATTTACATTCACTCATACCTGCATCTATGTTATTAGTATCATATTTCAGCTTTTGTGCTGATACAGGTAATGTTTTGGAATTCCCCAAAGCTTACCTAGATTGACAGGTACTTGAAGAAGGCTGGGCGGCACAACAACCGAAATGTTGTGACAGTAATAAAGATGAGGACATTAGTCCAACTATAAATAAATAATAACTTATTACTTACCATTGAGACTTATTGAAGTTTTTTGTGGCATTTTCACCAAGCCAACAACTATTATCCTTTCTAACCACTCTCTGCTTCTGTATAAGCTTTTATTTAAAGGTCTGCAAAAAAAAAAAAAAAAAAAAATTAAAATTATAAAAATAAATACAATTTCATGTGGTTCAAAGTACATTACTCATCTTATTCCTTGCTCATCCTTTTCATCAATATTCCTATCAAAAACATTAATCAGGTCCAATAATTAACAATCAAAGAATAAAATAATGACTATAGATATTCTTACCTTGAATGGTTATTAAATAAAGCATTGTCAGACATCCTTAATATTCAACTCTTTATTCTTAATTCCCAATTCTTTTCACCATAATTATTCAGATTGTCAGTTTAAATATCTAAAACTATTTTTATGTTAATCTGATTTAAAAATATTTTTTGGCATTTTAAAAAAATCTTTCTAAAGTTAATCTGATTTAAAATTCAAGTTTATCCCGGAAGCTCTATTCCTATTAAATACTGTTATCAATCAGTAAAACATTAAACAAGAACTTGAAAACCAGACCAATGATAACACGAATGAATTGAAACATTTAACTGAATCATTATAAAATTAACTTTCATTTCAATGGAATGTTGAAAACAACTTCAATATAACCTGAATCATCAGTACATGAGTAGTAAAGTATAAATTAAAATTCAGTCATTAATTAAAAAAAAAAACTTCTTTGAAAATAATGCTCTTAAATAAAAAATATTTAATATTTCCATCTTTAATAATGACTTTCCTAGGAGTTCATTTATTAATTCTTTTCAGGTGAAAAAAGAAAATTGTATTTGAGAGTATATAAGAACCCACTTCCAAGCCTCACCGACTTGAAAAATGTCCCTCAGGTCTTACATGTAAGGTTTGAAGCATTTACTAAGCTCATGTTTATCCTGTAGACTACCAATAGGTGTATTTAACTTAATGCTGCCATATTAAATGCAAATAGTGGGTCGTTATTTGCTATTAACTACAGTAGTATTCATAAGAAAAAAATGAAATGCAAATCATACCTGCTCATCATTTTGTTGTTTTCAAATATAAATTCTCGAAGAGCAAAATCTCCTTTTCTGTAATTATTTGTGTGGTAGTCATCAATGTACAAATCTCCTTTAGCATATTCCTGTACAAGAGAAAAATAATAGATTGACATATTTCGCATTTATGTCATTGTAATAAAAATTCAAAAGAGGAAAAGAAAAAAGAAAAGAGGAAAAGAAAAAAGAAAAGAGGAAAAGAAAAAAGAAAAGAGGAAAAGAAAAAGAAAAAAGAAAAGGAAAAGAAAAGAAAAAAAGAAAAAAAAAAAAAAAAAAAAAAAAAAGTCTATGGTATTTTCAGCATCTTTCTGTACCGTCACTCCTAAGCAAAAAGTTTTTAAAATGTGACGATTAGAATTGTAATAAAACACACATGATGTAAGTAAATTTATACATTTCTTGTTTTTGAGAATTTACAACAAAAATATTAAACATTATTTGATTGTTTATTTATTATATTTATTACATTTTAAAAACTGATACAATTAAAACTAATGCAATATTTATCATTTACCAATTTATAAAGATTTAAACTTTAGCACTCTGTAGGTGACTATTTTTGCCAAGCAAAATGTTAGTCAATGTTAAATTGAAATTTCTTGTTTGTGTAGCCATATCCTTCTATGACAACATCTAAAACAATATTGACTGAAATTGAGAGCCAGGCTACTGTAATTTCAGATATATAGAACTAGTTATATAAAACACTATATTTTGATGGGATTCCATATACGGGAAGTAATATTTATAAATGACACAGTGTACTAAAAGTTAAATATGACAACTATTTAATTACAAATATTTACTAAACAATTAAAATGTAAACCAACTAAGGAAATTCTTATTTACCATTTATGGAGTTTGAATCAATTGGTAATTAGCTGACATTTTGCCAACTGTTCCAGTAATAATGTAAATAAACAATCTCATGAATAATATTTATTATAATCCTAATCATTGCTTTTTAAAACAAACATTGCCAAAGGTAGCTTGAATAAAAGTGGTTCCATGCGGTGTTGGGGGGCTCTGGGTCCTTTTGATACTGTTGTTTTCGTAGGCATGAATATCCATATTAGCTGAAAGACGGATATTACATAACAGTACTCTTTTCTTCATTTCTAACAAAATTTTCCTCTTAATACTTTGCTTAGCATTTGAAAGGCATCTTTTACTATCTCAACGTGCCTTCAGATTTCAGTGTTGCACTTTCCATTACTATTAAAATAAACAAGACTAACTTGAGGTATGAATGAGAACATCAATTCAAAGTAAAACTAGATTTTCCTATAAATAAGAAAAATCACACAGCTTATCAAAAACTTAATATCATAACAGAGTTGTTGTTCAGTGTGACATTTTACTTACATTTGTATTGAGGCAAACAAATAATGTTACAGGATCATTCTTCATAAAAGAGGAGGAACGCCTCATGCGATATTTCCTGGCAATTATGTGGCCACCTCTTTGGTAAGCATGAATCTGAAAACATTCACAAAATTACATTTTTTAAGTAAACTTGAATCAAAAGATCTTTGTTGCCATATTCACAACATTTCGGCTGTTATATGCTCCGATCTACTTCAGGTGATTGGAATTTCGAACTGAACCCTTTATTTTGTCCACTGGGGTAGACTGTTCTAGTTCCACATGCCATGCATCTTCTGGATGTTTCAGTTATCTCCCTTTAAGTTTTTGCTCCCCCACTGTAGTAGCCATGTTTTGAACTCACAACTGAGTCAAGTCACTAGATCCAACTAACACTTTTACCCACTGGGCCATGTGTCCTTGAGGAACATCATGAATATGGCAACAAAGATGAAGACAACAGTCCGAACAATGTAAATAGTGTAAATACTTACAAGACCTCATCGCAGAAATATAGATAGATATTGAATCAGTGTACAAGATTTAAAATATGACAGACCAAATAAACTTTCTAATTTATTTGCTAATTAATGAATTTTTAAATCTTAAAAAATCTTTCACTATTCACTGCCATAAGAACCCTTTAAAAAACAAAGACAAATGATAAGATTGCTTACATAGAAATTGCATGGACCCTGATCCCTGGATCAGAGTGGATGTGGGCGGGGATATCAACTGAATGATAAATAAATTATGGAGAAAATAATCTTGAGATTTTCTTAAAGATAATATTATTTTGGGTGTTAAATGTAGAATAGTATCCGAGATAAAATGTTACATCTTTTTACAGACGACATATTTTACTTAAATGTTCTAAATCTGTGTTTTCAGGTCAGAATAAAATACAAACCTGTGTGTAAGGAAAATGTATTGGAAATTTTGTTTATTTATTTTTAAGAAAGGGTTAATAAATAATATTATTAACAGATACTACAGCCAGAAAGTACTTTTTTTTTTCCCTCTCTCTCTAATGTCTGCTGGATTTGAAATTAGCCCACTCCAAGTAGACCTGTTTTATTCTTGATTAATTTGTATATTGCATTATGGTGTTATTGCTTTTGCAATGATATTGTATATGAGCTTGGTCTGAGGTTGACTGGAGCACACTTTCAATGCATTTTTTACAGTGATTTTTTTTTTCTTCTAATTAAACTGGCATTTATTAGGTCAAAATTTTAGTTGGATATGTTACAGTGAATTATCAGTGCATTTAAAGTGTTGTAATGCAAGAAATCCCTGCAATGATCATAGTTTTTAGATTTCTAGATATTTGTATAACGTTGGGCATTTAGTGCAATTTATTTTTATATTCCTGCCTCTGTTTTGTAGTTAACTATTAATCCGTTTGTTGCTGATTATATCTTTTATTGTTTAATATTTTTATATTTTTTTTTTAATAAAAATTTATCTCTCTTCTTGCCATATTTACTTAATTTAGTTAATATGCTATAAATAAATTTGGTTTGTTCTTAGATGGAGAAAAAAAAAATGTACATAATCAGCATTAAACGAAAAATTGAAAAGTAAATCTGTTAATATTTTCATGTAAATGCCTATCCTCCAGGAATAATTGAAAATGGAAGTAATTTTTTTTAAATGTTCTTGGGACAGCTGAACTCTAATAAATTTTGCATTTCTGTTGATTTTTATTTTTTTAAACACCAAAATTCTCAGATCATTCTACAATTGTTAATAAGCAAGTTAGGAAATGAAGGTGACATTCAAACTGGCATCCCATATCTTGCCTTATCAGTTAGGCTATGAAGATCAACAAGTTACAGAAATTTAAATCTAACCTCATAGCTTTCATTATTTATTCCCTGACTACATGCACCAAAATCTGCCTTCATCTTTTGTTTACAAACACTAAGAGGATCTATTCCCAACAACTGTAGAATGACACAGAACATCAAAGAAATACTAATCAAAAATTAATAATCAACAAGGCTTCATTTAAAAAAATTCAAATAATATTACTACTAATTATACATCCTGTGGTTTTTGTATCAGGTTTCAGATTCAGTCTTTAAGTGGATATTCAAAAAAAAAAAAAAAAAAAAAAAATCAAGGAGGAAAATACCCTCTATTTTCAGCAACAGAAAAAAAAATGCCCAATTACTTTAGCAACAGAATATACAAATAAAATACCGTATTTCTTCTAAAATGGTCATTAATCTACCAATCAGATTAGTCAATTTCAGTAAATGTAAACAGAAAATTATTATTGCATCTCCATTCCATGTATTCAGTTATTTCTATATTATGCACAAAAAAGTTTCAATACATTCTTTTTGAAGCAAAGTATTCATTGCTGAAAGCTATAGAAACCAGACAAATATATAATGTCACATCTTTTAGTCTTCTTACCAGCAATGATGCTTATTACCAATAATAGAACACCTACTACATTTTCCTGTTAACCTAGTAAAGGGTTCACGTTGATTTCACCCTTATATTAGAGGGTGTGTGTTTGTGCACACACTTGTAATTACCTAAAAGTTCAGGAATTTAAATATGAAAAATTTCTCAATGGATAATCGTGTGGAGTTATTTGCAGAGATGAATGTGAAAATATCTGATATGACATAGGAAAGCGTGGATATCTTGACAAATTAACAGCAACACAAACCATTTCAAATTCCCCCCCGCCTAGAATTTTCAGTAGAACCACTTACGTGTAGTTGTTTATATATGAACTTACCTTGTCCAATGGGGTATCAACTTTTACAACTTGTCCTCCAGCATATGTTTTGAAGTCCAAGATATCATACCAGATCTAAAAAAGGAAAAATATGTTAATTAGGGACAATGAATTTAAAATTTATACCAACATGAAAATAAAGACCAAAAATCAAACCTGAATATACAATGAAAGAAAAAAAACCCTATAATCTTCACCAAAACCAAAGTTGATAAGTCATTATAAGATAAATACAGTTAATAAATGAGATAGCAGTAAATTAATTCAAATTATGATAATGTTATTTAGCTATTAATGAAAATTGAAGTAGAAATTTATAATGAAAATTTTTAATAAGATGTTTAATTAGTAACTATTTTAATATTTTCTTTAATATAAATGTATTTATTTTCTATGGCTTATCAATACTTTGTAGGTTATTTAAAGCCAGAAATTATTTTTAGAATTTTTTTTTTTTTAAACAATGATTTAGTGGTTTATAGTGCAACTATGCTGAGCAGACCTTAGTTACAACTTCTGAGAGAAAGTGTTATTAGCATGATCCATTTGAACAAAGGACATGCTCAAGCCCTCAGCCATGAGGACTTGTGGCTTTGTGCTAGCACAGCTATTGATGGCCCCCAAAGTCCCGTCTACCCAGTTTCACAAGACTTTCATACCATGGTATGATTTTCAGACACTTCCATATATATATATATATATATATATATATATATATATATATATATAATAAAAAGGCTTAAACACTAATATTCCATGGTCATAATTTATTCCATTGGAATCAGAAATATCCAATTCATCAGACCTACAAGTTCAAAAATAAAACAGAAAAAACTCCAGGAATAAAAAATAAAATTTAGTGAGAGTGTAGAACGAATGTTAGAGTAAAAGAAAGCTATAGAGAGGAGTAACAGACAAAAGAACAGGAAGGTCTAAAGATGAAGGGGGGGGATTATTATATCCTTACTCTGTCCTGGACATTGAGTTCTACCTGGATTCTATCCTCTTGGAATTATTTTTTATACAAATATATATATATATATATATATATATATATATATATATATATATATATATATATATGATTGCATATGTATGTATATTTATACTAATATATATATATATATATATATATATATATATATATATATATATATATATATATATATATATATATATATATGTGTGTGTGTGTGTGTGTGTTATGGCATTGTCCATAGCCAAGGATTTAGTAAGTAAGTGCAAGCCTTGTGAAGAGGCCATTACTTTGTTATTTAAGATACTTACTAGACTAGCCAATTTTATTCTATTTATTTTTTTTTAGAGAGAGAGCTCTGATTTCTTGCTAGAATTAATTCATCACACTACATTTATTTTCCTCTTATTAAAAAAATATTTGATTCAACAATTGAAAACAAAATTAAAATTTAATATAAAGTAAAATTAAAAGGATGGATTCATATTCAGGTATTGGGAATTTTAATACTACGGTTACATTCCTAAAGCCGTTTTTGAAATTTACTTGAGTAACAATTATTTCCATTCAAAAATCTCACATAATAATGTTTTTCAAGTTCATCACTGATCATTTGCTCAAGCATTATTTGTTCAAAGCATCAAAATTTTTTATACTGACCTCTCCTTTACCCGGAAAGTAGATGTCCATTGTAGATATTCCTGGGTCAACAACTGGCTTAACCAACAAAGCAGAACCTATAAATTGAAAGATTTCAGAATTAGTAGCATTAATTTGTAATAAGCTTTGGTAACAATCAAAGCTCTGGCAATTGTATTTCTTCAGAATGAAGGGATCACTTGTCTTGAAATGATAATGACTTGAAAATTATAAAAAGTTATCTTTACAGTGTAAAAGAGATCTAACAATGTTCTGGTTTCACAATAACAAGAATGAGATCAATAGTTCATGTTAGTCAAATAATATTTTTCTTTTCCCTTTCACTGTCAGAAACAATGTTATGGTTCTCATTAATATTTGACTAATTTTTCTTTTATTTACAGTTGGATTAATGTTTTCATCTTTTTTGTTATTACAATGATTTGCACTGTTGTCCACTCTGGCAAACTTCAGGTGATTAAAGTGTTGGTTTGTTAATTTTGTGGAATAATAATTGTAAGTTCAATCCTTAAGCCAGGTAGTATAAATTCAGACTCAATAGAAACAAGACATCTACACAAAAGATTGTCTAAGACGTTATGACAACAAAGCAATAAAAAGAACAAGATCAATAGTTTTAATAATTCTTAGAGTGACAATTCTTTTTGTTCATAATGTGCAGTTATTGAGTTATGTAACAAGAAAACTTTTGTATCTTTTTTAAAGAAATATTTGTAAGACAAAAAGAATCAAGAAAAAAAGGGCAATTTTATAAACAATAATACTGACAGGAATGAATATGAATACTGCATAGAAATAATGTAGTAGGTCATAAACGCCATGAAAACTAATTTGGATGACATACTTTGTAAATGGGAAGTTCTGAAAGTAGACAACTTTTTGAATTTTGGCCATTTTCAGGTCCTTATAAGAATACAAAGTACATAAGGCACAACTAAGCTTTTTACATTTTTTGTAATCTACAGTAAAAAACAAACGTTTTTGTAATCTAAAGTAAAAAAATTGTCTCCAGTTTCAAATCTGTACATGCATTATCCTTGAATGAGCTATGAATGTCAGGATTCATTGCAAGCCTTAAAAAAAAAAAAAAAAAATGCAGTGAAATTTCTAGCTACTCTACTTTTAAAACAATTTAAAAGATACAGATCTAATATTTAGGCTTTATCAATAAATTTGATCATGGTAAAGCTGTAAATTTTCCCAGTTTTTTTTTTTTTCTCTGAGAGGGCCATTCATTGATTTGAGATGGAATGACCCATATACATTTTCATGACCCCATGAAATATCAGTCCCTACCATTTGTGTTATAAACTAATTAGCACCACTTTTTCAAAACTAGTTTAGATATATAGTAGCCTACAATACAACTAGTTTTGGGACATATTTTTTATCATATTGGGAGTTGAGGATAATGTTTAGCTTAGCTCAAAACGAAAATGGGCACCATCCATTAGAAATTATCGTAATTGTCTTTATACAGTTATTTATTCCCAGTAATTGGCAATTTTCTATTTTTCCAAAAACAGGCCAGTACAACCAGGATGGATGGATGTTGGATTTAACGGCATGTCAACTATTAGTACAACCAGGAAAAAATGCAGCAAGGAAAATGTTTATTGTACAGCAAAAGGCTTATCGTTTTATTTTTTCTACAATCATCTGATCAATGCAAACAGTTTTTTTATTAAAAATATGACTAAAAGTCATGAAAATATCTTCCAAATATCAATTCATATTTCAGTTTCTGAAAATAATTACACATCATAAATAAAGAGTGAAGAGTGAAAATACACAGAGAGAGAGAGACACACACACACAAAGTTGCATGCAAATACAAGAATTAAATAGATATGTACATCTTATCAAAAGCATAGAGAGGAGGGGAAATATTAATGTTAATATTATCCATTTCCCCACTATGGAAACATTTGGTATTCATTAACTGAGCAGTCAAGTACTGCTGTCAGTTGAAATTTATGAAATTATTCTCTTAAAAATTTGTTCAGGAACTTAAGTTTCTCAAATCCAGTAGCAGTTTTTGCTCTTTCCAGTATTGATGGGGGGTTTCATTCTTAAGCTTTTATTTGAAGCAGTGTCAAATTCATTACATTCACTTACTCTTGGGAAAGGTACGAATCTTCTTCTCCTTCCAGCTATGGGTAAATAGCAGGACAGACCGGGTTCTATAACCTTGGATGGCAACTGATCTACCGCAGAAAGAAATGACAAACTACTGCAGGAAAAAATCTGCCTTGTCAGTCATGTATCAAAAGATACATGATCACCTAAGCATGCATCACATATGGTACATAACTGACTGTGAAATATCAACATCTTGATTATATAATTTTCTTTTCGAGTTGCATGTGATATGCATTTTAGTTGTTGCTGCTGTTGGTAGTCCTCAAGTGATGTAGTTTCTGTTATTTGGTACAGATCTTTGTGATTTTGTAGTACCAGTCCACGATGAAGGATGATGTTTGTCAATACCCTTTACTTGCTGAAAGCCTTTTTTCACCATTGATCTTAGTAAGCAGATGTATACAGCTGGTTGTTTAGATATTTCTGAACAGGTTTGGCAACATGCATGACATCCAAACAAAAGTTTCAATCTTATGAGGTAGTCCTCAAGTGATGTGGTTTCTGTTATTTGGTACAGTTCTTTGTGATTCTGTGTTGGGTGAAACTATCCCTAACACAGCCTCTTCTATGTTCAATTCCCTTTTTTCCTATACTAAATTTATTATAACTGATCCATACAGTGAGTTATTTGAAGTGTTTAGTATTTACTAATTCTACATCCTGAATTTTTATGATGGATTCAGGATAAGTGCCATCACTGCTTTCATTTCAATTCCAGATCATAGTTTCTATTTTGGGAAGGTTTATCTAGAGTCCTATTTCTTGGAACACTTGGTAGAGGATGCAGATTTTCCATTCAAAACCATTCTTATCCCAAATATGAATACCCTCAAGAGGGAAAGCAATATTGTTGTCTTCTATTGGCAGATTCATTTGGGATGTGGTATGGAATGCTTAAAATGGTCAGTGTCCATTTCTTCACATCTGTGTTTGTAAATGCGCAAAGCAGTCTATGAAAAAGACTAAATAAACTGGATTCTCATTTCTTCCTTGTCATACTCCTGATGGGGTTTGTAATGTTCCTCTATTAAATCAATGCATTCAGTGAAAGGATGAGGAGAAAGATAACCCCCTCCTAGTAAAAAGCACACAAAGAAAGAGGAGGAAAGGTCTTACCCAAAAGATATTCATCATCCATTTTGTAGGTAGCTGTGTCTTCTGGATATTCTACCCACAATGGCATCATCACTGGCATTCCAGTTCTTTCACTGTGATAGAACAAAGTGTACCAATATGGAAGGAATGTATAGCGGGTGTGAATGGCACTACGGACAATATTCTTGTTATGTTCTGGTAACAGCCAAGGTTCACGGCGTTTTGTGTCTAGATGGGAATGGCCACGGAAAAATGGTTGAAAGGCGCCAGCCTATTTAAAAAGATAAAAACATTTGAAAAAAAAAAAAAAAAAAATTTCCTCAAAATTATTCCTCCCTAAAAGCAATGCCTTCTGTTTCATGTTTTTTGTGTCTGCTAACACAGTACGGCAACTGTTTTATTTCCCCTTGTTTGCCCTGCTCCCATCCTTACTTGAGATACATTTTAGGTCAGTCACCACTTTGACCATTTCCTCTTTTGAAACCAGTAGAATAAGCAACTTAAGCTTAAGGTATGCAGTTCTTACTTTTCCTGTCCTTCAAATTCTACACCCAAATTATATCACCAAAGCAATTTTTGTTCTTTAAGTGTCGGATTAGAGTCCAACACTTAAAGAAACATTGCATTCCTATTATTATTATTTGAACATTTTCATGCCCTCAATAAAACCTTTACCTCTTCCCCAAGTGTTAAAAAGGATGATTTTTCCCTTGACACTGCTATTATTTTAACTACCTTCACTCTTCAGCAAATGAAAGTTTTAATAAAACCTAAACATATGAAAGTGAATTTATACATTTCCTTTGTTTATTTACACTATTATATTATTTATTTGAACTTTATAAAATGGTAAATAAGGATTTCCTTATAGTTAGTTCACATATTTTAATAATTTAGTAAATGTTTATAAATTTCTGAATAAAAAAATTATTTTCATACTTCTTTATAAGCTGGTAAATGATAAATATAGCATTGTATTAGTTTTTATAATGTAAATATAAAATTATTCTTGTAAATAAACAATGTAATAAATAAATAACATTTGATATTTTTGTTGTTGATTCTATAGAACCAAAAAAAAAAAATGTATAAATTCACTCATGTTTAGGTTTTATTACAATTCTAATCATCACCTTTTAAAAAAATATTTCTGAAGAGTTAAGGTAATTTAAAAGAAATAAAATAGTGGTGTCAAAGGAAAAACCCTCCTACTGAAAATTTCATTTGTGTGTGTGTGTGTGTGTGTGAATAAAGGTCCAAGTTTGCCCATTTGTTTAATGCAGCCACTTTGTGTATATTTATTTTTGATAGCTGTACTTTGTCATGTAGAACCATTTTTTAACAACTGTTAACTGTTTTCACACTATGTTATATTTTAACAAGATTTTAAATTCATGTAACTTTTTTCAGTAAATTAAATTATTGCAAACTTTAAACATAATTTGTTTCATCAAATTACTACCTCCTGTTCCCATTTAGATCTTCTATTTCAGTCATATTTCTTACTAAACCAGTTTCAAGTTTGTATTTATTTTTTTCTACTTTCACCCTTTTGGCTTTCAATAAACCTGTTGATGAAATAAACTTTGCCTTCAGAGTCTGATTGCCATAAGGCATTTATTTATCTAAAAGACATGTGTGTATCAGGAGACTGCACTATAAAAAAATTTTATTAGCAAGTATTACATTAATAAAAAGTGTAGATAATTATTATAATAATCTTTTCCCTTACTTTTGAAAGAAGTGTATTTAGAAGAACGCCAGACAGTTTATATTTGATGCACTACATTTGTCTGTAAAAGTTTCTAAATATAGATTTGACTAAAAGAACTGCCAGAATTAATTCTCTCAAAATGGACTGTTGGTGATTAATTTTTCAAAAGTAAAAATTATATGCACTTTGTATTTATTGTCCAATCAAAAGGGTGTTTTCTACCTTATATAAATTAAATTTTAAGATACATTTAGAGCCCTCTTTTGATGATATACAAGAAGAGTCAGTGGATAAATTCAGAAGGTACAGAAATTTTTGACCAGAAGTAGTAATAATTTCCAATGTCAATTTGTCCTGGGTAAGATGATAAACTGCATCTGCATCCTGGGTATGACAAACTGTATCTATGTCCTGGGTAAGACAATAAACTACATCTGCCAGCAAAGACCGATTGGGGAATCTGAGGAGCATGGAACCACCTCTTAATTGCTGGTGTTCCCAGGCTCACACTGACCTGAGGTGGTAGCACCTGTCAAGGTCCCAGCTATGGGCAAATAGTTAACCCCACAAAAGGGGTCAAAACATGAAACTATTAAAGTATAAAAATAGATTTTAATACCATCAAGACTTTTTCTGGAAATTTTGAAAAAAAAAAAAAAAAAATATTGCCAGCTATACATTTTTTTTTTTTTAAAATATTACCAGCAATAAAAAACTTGTTGGCATTAAATAACCCATTGAGATCGATATGCCGTAAAACAAAACAAATCAAGCCAATGTCAGTAGACAAGGAGACATGAAAATTTTGCCTTGAAAAGTTAAAAAGTAAGGTTCCAGAAGGAAAAAGCTATTTTTGGCTGTCACCTGTGGATGAGCTGGATTGTTTCCCCACAGAAGAAATAAATGGAAAAAGATGGGTGTGTTCTAAAGACTGTGTTCTAAAGAAAAAGAAATTTAGAAAAGTCCTAGTGATGTAAGTGAATTTGCCAAAGACCTGTTTTTTTAGTCTTCTGCTTAGGAGGGTGCACCTTTTTTTATTTATTTATTTTTTTTTTTTTTTTTTAAATAAAGTTGAAAGTGCTCACAAAAAAAAAAACAAAAAAAAAAAACAAAAAAAACTTACCAGTCACAAGACTGGCTGATGCAATGAGAATAAATAATGCTTTCTGGCCCACTTCCATCAAAAGTAAGAGTGAATATGGCCTCTACCCCTATTTGTAAATAAGTTTTTGTCTTTTCTTTCTTGTATCAGTTCAATATTATCAGCAAACAAGCAAATGATGGAAGCTAAATTTTGTTTGTACAAAATAAAAAAAATAAAAAAATTTGAATATGTTGTGAATAAATAAAAAAAATAAAAATAAATAAATAAAAGAATTCTGTTCACCTGATACCACCTCGTGACAAGTTCAGCATCAGGATTGCGGAAAAATCCACCAATGTCAGCACCTGAGAAGGTGATGCCAACAATATTCAAAGATAACATCATTGGAACAGATATTTTTAAGTGGCTCCATTCACCTGTATTGTCACCAGTCCAGACAGCACCTGAAGGAGAAAGAGGGAAAATATGTACAGAAATGAGAAAAAATTAAAATAAATTAAGAATCATGTAAAGTACATCCTAGTCAAGCATCTTTAATTTAAATTTGTCTAAGAGGCTTCTGTATTGACAAATAAAATTGTAACTACAATAAGATTAGTGATTATTCATTAGTGATTTACTGGTTTCATCTTTACTATAATCTATCTTAAACTAATTCCAAAAGATGTTCATACTAATGATGTCATTCAAAGTTCTTCAAGTTTATAATCCAGAGGAAGGGCATTTATTCAATTTTTTTTTTTTTTAAAATCAGAAAATGGTAAGTAAAATACTGAGAGAACCAACCCATTATGCCAAACTACACAGCAACTTGTTTAACAGGCAATTCCAATAAAAAAAAAAAAAAAATCTCTTGCTAAGCAAAGAAATCTATGCTTGTGTAATACATTTATCTACAAGGTCAGTTGTAACACTAAAACAATGAGGTGGTTAATGTTAATCCTAAGCAGGAAAAGGGTTAAACCCAAAATGAAATATAAATTGGAAGATAGAGAATGGAAGACCATCTGAATTGTCTCATCTCTACGAATTAGAACAATGCACCAAGAGTTTACATTTTTTATTTTTTTTATCATCTATTAAAAATCTGGCATGCGGGTAAAACAAATTGGGATATGGTTTTATCTCTTCCTTGGAAAATTAGAAAAACATGTGTCATTGGTGAGAAGAGAGGCAGACAGAAATTATATTTTCATTGACAAAAAATGAATTGAGAAATAAAAACAGAGGATAGGATTATGAAAATGAAAAATAAAACGAGGGATAGGATTATGAAAATCAATCCTGTTGTGACAGGCAGGTGGTCTGGTTTATGTCTTTGCTAAGATAGTGATCAGCCCAAGGATGGAGAACAGCATGCATTTTTGTTGAGAATTTAGGTAAACAAATATATTTTTGTTGACAAAAATAAATTGGGAAATAATTTTTATCTATTGCATGGAAGGTTAAAAGGAGAAGCTGTAGTCCGATTTGTGATCTCACTGGACAGAGGTAATAGTAGGGAAATGTGAGAGAGTCAGAGAATTGAAATTAATGAGAAGAATAACCTACGCACTTTAAAAATTAGATTTGTCACAAAGACAGTTATACCAGCCCTGAGAATGTGGGCAGTGTTAAAATACTGAGAAGGAAGATGCAGAATTTACCCCACCTGTGTGCAGTGGTGGTGTGAGATGTGAAGTGAAGGAGGTTAGAGTTAAGGGAGGAGCAATCCCTGTAATTACTCCTAAGGAAGGTGGATAATTTTCCTAATTTGGAAAGTTGATTAAGAAATCAGAAATAGGGAATAAAGAAAACATTTATTGGGATTAAGGTGAGGATTGGGGAATCACCAAATCCCCAGAACCCATAAGCCCCAAGCAGATGAGTTTGGGAGCTCAGATACTTGGACTGAGAAACCGCATCAAGTGCCTCTGGAATCCATGTTAGCTGCCACCAGATTTACTGATTTGAACAATGAACCCAGCTCTTCCAGAAGTTTAGACAAGGCTCAATGTCACTATAGAGATTGATATGGGAAGGGATAATTTTTATTGTAAATTGGTAAGATAATTTTTTAATTTTTCCTTTAGCCCATAAATTTATAATCCCCACTTTTCTTTTTTCATAAAAAGAGGTTGTATTTTGCTTTTAAATCTAAATAAATCATTCACTCACCAGTATTACAATCACCTGATGAGATGCATTGATACACATCAAAACATGACTACAATCATGTAGCAAATATGACATGTTTTCGGTGTAATAGCCATATATATATATATATATAAAATCAACTATACTCTTTGATATCTTCTTGATAAAATAAGGTGTTCTTATTTATTTTCCTTTTAAAAAAAAAAAAAAAAAAAAAAAAAAAAAAATTATTCTTTTGCATCATCCCACGTGTATGTAATTTTATCACAGATGTTATGTGTTCAGCACCTAATTTTGTCATGGGTGTTCAGCGATGATGTATAAAGATAAAAAGCAATACAATAATGGGAGACCCATAAAATACTTACCATATCTTTGAGAGCCAGCAAAGAAGGATCGGCTCAGTACAAATGGCCTCTCCTGACCATTGGATTTCTGAATCTGACCCTCTACAGTTGCTCGATGCTATTGAAAGCAAAAAAAAAAAAAAAAAAAAAAAAAAAAAAAAAAAATTAAATGAATATTCCAGATTTTTTTTTTTCAAATACTTGAATTCCTTTGTGTTCTGCTTAGTGTTTCAGCTGATCCATTCTTCAGCTTTTCTAAGACAGATAATTCATAACAAAGAGGTGGTGGAACGCATTTCCTAATATGTTGACTGCTGACCCAAAATAAATATAGGGTTGTGTGGTGGTGGGGGGCACTATTTGTATTTTGAAACATTTTTTAAAGGAATGTTAGGTGTCAATGAAAGTTTATAGTACTAATATTTTTTGTCAAAATGTCTGCCAAGTTTTTTCCTAACTTCAGAAGCCAGGTCACCAACAAGTGGTGATGACTACTTTCTTGTGTGCATAGTTTTTTTTAATTTTTCAAATGATGGATATAATATATATATATATATATATATATATATATATATATATATACACACACGTTATTTTCTAAGATGCTTCATGGCAAATAAGGAAGCATTATTACATGCTATAAATGTGATTTACATTTATTGGTGCAACTATAGTATGATATCTAACATTCATTTTCTACTATAGTATGATATTTACCAAGTGTTGGAAGTATGAAATATGTTAGGGTTAAAGGTAATGAACACTGAACTGGCTATGTATTGAAAATCATTAACAATCACCATCAGATTATTTATTGGAATACTGGTCCGTTGTTCAAGAAATTAGTCAGAAGATGGAGATGTTGATTTTTTGTACACAAACACACTTCGGAATCGGATCACACACATCAACAGGATTAGGTCTTAGCAATGGGCTCACCATTATCACCAGCAATAGCGAATATATACATGGAATACTTTGAGGAAATGGCATTAGAATCCATATCTTTAAAGCCAACTATATGGTTAAGGTACATAGATGACACCTTCGTACTCGGGCTACACCAGGATGATGTTCAGATTCTACTGGACCATGTGAACTCAATAAGATCTTCGATACAGTTCACGATGGAGAAAGACAGTAACAACACACTCCCATTCCTGGATGTACAAATATCTCGAACAGAGCATGGGTTCAAGACATCTGTACATCGTAAACCGACATTCACCGGACAGTACCTCAATTTCAAATCCCACCATCCATACAGTGTAAAGAAAGGGATCGTCCGCTACTTACAAAATCAAGCAAAAGTCATAAGTGGCGACCCAAAGACATTGATAAAGAATTGGTCAGTTGCGGAAAGAAATATAAAGGAGAGACACCCGCCCCCATCAAGGTAAGACTTCAAGAACATCAGAAAGCTGTAACATGAGGGTAGTGGAAAAATCAGGTGTGGCTGACCACATATGGAGAGAAAAGGGAGATCACTGCCCTCTGTGAGATCAGACTGAGATCATAGACAAAGAACATCACTGGAAAATTTGTAAAATTAAGGAATCAGCACATATGCTAGGCCACAAAAATCTCCTGAGCTGACCAAGCATAGAAATGAATACAATATGGGAACCAGTAATAAGGAGTGCCAGAGAAAAGCGATAACAAAAAAAAATAAAAAAATTGTAATATGAACTCTGGTAAAAACATGAAATGATAACAGCAAAAATTGCAATATGAGCACTGGTAAAAATGGTTGCTGAAGACATTAGGTTTATAACACCCTGAAATTCATACCCAGCTATCATCAAAGACACATGGCACAGTGGATAAAGGCGTTGGTTAGATCCAGTGACAGTTCAATACCTGGTTAAGGCAGAGGAGAACTTGGAGAGGGGAATTAACAGGAGATAACTGATATCCATTAGACATGGAACTAGAACAGTCTACCCAAGTGAGCGAAATAAAGGGTTCAGTTCAACATTCCAACCACCTGAAGAAGGCCAGAGTGTACAATGGCCGAAACAATTGTCCGAATAAAGTAAATAGTATGCATAGAGTGTCTTCAATCTTTTGGTAAAACAATTTAAAATGAAAATATAACTGTCACCAGTATCTGGAGACATGACAAACTGAAATGCCAGGTCACCAATATATGATGACATGGCAGTCAATGTGCTAAAAATTGGAGACAGAAAACAGAGTTTAATATAGATCAACTATTCATTTCAGCAACACTAGATACACATTTTATATGAATTCTATACCTGACAAAAACTGAAGAATGAATCCATGAAAATGTTGTCCAACCAATACAAAAAAATACATTGGAGTTCATTTTTCTCAACAGACTTTAGAAATGTTAATATCTCTGAACGTTATAGACATGTTAAATCAACAATATTCTAATGAGCTTTCCTCTTTGGTACCTTGGATTTATGAATTCAAGTGCAGTACTAGATTGGCAGCTAGGTCTCATTTTACAGTTGAAATGGATGGATGTAAACCGCAAATTCTAGCAGTTTTTCTCACACTTCTTGTTTGTGGAACTTTCTTCCAGCTTCTAGTTTTCCAATTGTCTTTGATCTTCAAAAATTTAAATGCAATGTTAATCATCATCATTGATCTTCTTGAAGACTGTTATTGGCCTTACTCCTTAATGATTTTTCTCAGATTCTTTCACACTCGATAACACCATGCATTTTAACGATTTTATCACCTTGCTTGGGGGGGGGGGGGTGAGAAAAAAGCTAACATTCAAGAAATGCATTTTATAAATATCAATGACACACACCAAATACGCATTGACATCTATTTTTGTGTTAAGACAATATAAATGACATCTTTTATATCTAAAAAGTGACATACAAAAATTGGTTTAGGATTTAACCAGTTAATTTTTTAATAACTAGATTGAGAAAAGTACATGATGAGAGAATAGGATAACATCCAAAGCAGATCCAAATCAATCAACACAAAATTAGATAATATAACAACAAATAATAATTCTGTCAGGCTAAAATTACTCCCCGCCATTCCAAGAACTCTTCATAGACAACCGATCTCATTCTTTTATTTTCCTTGAAAAAAGAAAAAGGACTGGTAAACAACATATTAAGAAAAAAAAGAAAGTAATCCTCACCTTTTTTCCTTACAGATTATTTATTCAAGAAAAACTAAAGAACAGATGTTTGAAACATGGAAACAATATAAAAGAAACAAACAAATGAAAAATTCAAAATAGTTTGTTAATGCTAATCATTGAACAGTGTACAATTTATAAACACAAAGATATTTTATCCTCATAAATGTTACATATTTACAACCAAAACTATGTTTTACTGCAAAAGTTCCCAAAGCTCAATATTTTTGTATAAACTTTGGAAGATCTGAGTAATCCTTGACAGTGTCTGTGGATTCAATCTATAATTTCAGAGTCTGCTTATTTCTTGTCTTACTAAAAGCAACCTATCAGCAGATATTATTTTTAATTTGCTTTTTTTTGTTCTCCCCCACCTTTTTTAAATATAATTTTTAAAGTTTAAAATGAATTTCTAAAAATGAACAAAGCATTCTTGAAGATTTTTATATATATATATATATATATAACACACACAAACCCTCTTCAATAATGATATCAATACATGTCAACAGGATCAAGTTAGCATGGAATTGGATGGGTCATCGTTATTTTGCACTGTCCCTCAATTGTTACACACACACACACATATATATATATATATATATATATATAAAAAAAAAGTAAACACATTTTATATATATATATATATATATATTAGTTATTTCATCCTTTATTCCTAACATACAAAAATTAATTCAGGTTTACCAAGAACTCCCCCCCCACTCATGTAAAATAAAAATTATCTCACCTGATACATGCCATAGACATTGTGGACATCTCTGTGTTCCCAGCCACTCAAGTGGACAGCATCCTTTAACATGGTGATCTCAGGACCATTAAAAACGGACGGTTCATTCATGTCATTCCATGTGACAACATCCAAATTTGTTCCTTTGTATTCAGCAGGGTCGAATTTACTTGCCCACCACTGACGGACGGCAGGTTCCAAAAAGTCAGGCCAGCTTGAAGATCCTGTATGAAGTGGGGGGAAAAAAAATCATTTAGGTTTTCTGGTGTAGTAATATCTTTGGGCCAGGATCAAAGCATAATATCTGCTCTCATTTTAGTTGAGAGAATCTGCCTGATCTCAAGAGATTCCAACCCTGTAGCAGCACCTCCCTCAGTTCACTAAGAAAAGTAAATGTACTATCAGCAGAATCAGTGGCATTTATATAATTTGCACATCCTTATGCCCAAGGAAAAATATATATTAATAGTAATTTTATTAGTATACTAATATCTCATTGTATACAATGAAATTCTATTTTTTTTTGTTTTGTTTTAAATCAATTCACCCCATGCAAGGCAATAATACCACTAAGATGCAAAGGGTTGCTGAGAGTAGAAGAGAATGAGAAGACTTTAGAAGGAACTGCAAATGTGATCCTAAACAGGAAACAATGGATAAACCTCTACTCCTCTTCAAAAGACTGGCCCGTCTGAAATTTTAGTTAAAAATCTTGTTTTTTTGAGTCAGCGATGATGCCCATTTTTCAGAAATTTGTAAACAAAAGTTAAATTCTTCCTTTAAAAAAAAAAAAAAAAAAAAAAAAAAATACAAAATACCTTTTTCAAAAGTTACTTAAGGAAAATTATAAAATTTAAAGTTATTTGAAAACAAACATTTTCTTTTCACAAAAAAATGTAGTTTAAAATGAGAGAAAGCATTCTTAATAATGGTGACTATTGACAAGTGATCGTTTCATTAATGTATTGACACCTAATGTGAGGGGAAGTTATCATACAGAAGGACAGAAGTGTCATTTTTTTTTTCTAGTTTAAGTTTTTTTTTTTAAGTTTAAGTGAACCAAATTATTTAGCTCATAATTTTTAATAATTTTGTTTTTTTTTTTTTTTGGTATTTTAGCTTTAACCTTAGATTTGTTGAAGAGAAGTTCTGGAAAAATTAAAAATACAATAAAAATAATTTAAAATTTCATAACTACTGAGAGTTAGATAAAATTTCATAAGAAAGGTACCTATAATTTTCATGTATATCTCATGAAATTTACAGTATCACCTTTAATTTTTATAATATCTCCGTTATTTTTATTATTAATTTTTATATGATCTCATTTATGAAAAAAAATGTCATAACTGCTATAATACAAACATAAGACCATATAAATTTCATAAGATAGGGACATAATTGTAGGTACCCTTCTCATATTTGAAATGTTATACAAAACAAACTATGATTTATTCATATATTTAGCTAACTAATTTATCCTTTTATTGCTTATTTAAAAGCTGTAATCTTACCAGTTCAATGACATCAAAAGAAAAAAACTTACCAGGCCAACACCAGCCATCATACTCAGCACCATCTTTATTTTTAATGAAGACATTTTTTTCCTTAGCCTCTTTATAAATGTGATAATTATCATCTCTTTTGATATGAGGGTCCACAATGGTCACCAGCTTTCTCCCTTTGGAAGAAAGGTTAGCTACCATGTCTTCAGGGTTAGGGAATTTGGCATGGTCCCATGTGAAATACCTGAAGTAAAAAAAAATAAAAAAAATAAAAAAAATTTAAAAAAAAAATGAAAAGCTAGTAACAACAGCAGTCATATATATATATATATATATATATATATATATATATATATATATATATATATATATATGAGAAAACTAAATACATGTATGTATATATGTATGCATACATGCATGTTCCAGAGATAAAATTATACATAAATAACCCCAACCAAAAATACATAAAATTATACATAATAACCCCAACCAATTTTGGAGCATACTCCATCTATTCAAGTGTAATGTCAATCAACATCTCCAGTTGCCTTGATCTATCCACTACCCTCATCCTTTCTTCTATCACTCCTATCTGATCTTGCTATTTCCTGTAACCCCTTGCATCCTAGTGGCTTCCCACCTTGCTTGGGGTGAAACGCTAAAAAAAAAAAAAAAAAAAAAAAAAAAAACACCTTTAACCCCTGTCAAGTGCAGTGCCAAATTAAAATTAGCAAGGGTTTCTTGGGTTCAGGCCGTTTTTCCAGCATTTTTAATCAGTTATTCAGTATTTGTTTGATACACATTCTTATATCAATCTGCTTATATAAACAAACACTTGCATAAGTTGGAATATAATATGCATGTGAAATACAAACATTCATAATACATTATAACAAACAACATAATTAAATAAATTTAAATCTACATAACAGATTTAAACAATTCACTACACTAGAACATTTGTATATATAAAAAAAATATCTTGGATGTTTGGCAACTACTTGATAGGTGAAGAGGCGATGTGAGTGTATCAGTCTACTAGGGCAGCTAGCCAATCCCTATTGCAGATGCTTGCTCAGGTGCAATTGTGTTTATTCAGCATCCACCGAGCCCACCTGTGGTTTATAGTGCAACTATGCCGAGCAGAGTTTCTGGGAAAGAGCCTGTTATCTAGCGTGATCAACAATTTGAACAAGGCCAGCACACTCAAGGCCTCAACCAGGATGACTTGTGACTTCATGCTAGAACATCTATCAACGGCCTCCAAGGGTTCTGTCTATCCAATTTCACTCACAAGGCTTGGGTCAACCCGTGGTTTTGTTTTCAGGCATTTTCTAGAGGTGCCGTATGCTGGAATCAACCCCTCCAGTCCAACAACATCGGGAAGTCTCCTTCCTGATGAGGAAATGATTTAATAATAAAAAAAAAATTATGAAAAAATTACCTAGAAAAACCAAGAAATATACTAAGTGCACAAAAAGGAGGTATCCATATTTTGTTATTTCAAGAAATATGAGTTTCTCTAAGTAGATGGTTGATGTTCATCTGGTTTTTTTTTTTTTGAATACCATTACCATTGTAAATTATAATATGGTAAATACTAAAATTGGTATAAATTGTCACTTCAGGGCTACAATTACTTGAATGAAAAAAAAGTTTACATTAATAAAGGGAGGTTATAGTGCCCTAGAACAAAGATAGTTCTATGTCATCCTGTTGGACTGAAGGACTTTGGACACTCTTCACTGACTACACTGTCATGATGCATTTATCTGCAGGAATTCTCATCCATTCTCAAGAAATGAAGAGCTGTGAATGCTACCATATCATCTGTAATTTGTTCTGTTATGATGCAAATAGTGATAATACCTAATTTATTACTAATAATAACTATTTGTTATTTGTAATTCTGCCACAATATTGTCTTTATTCTTTTTGTTTATAGCTAGAGCAAAAATAATCCCTACACAAGGACCTTTCCTTTTAGGCATTCTACAGTCAGTATAACAATACTAGCAATTTCTTTCATCTCTAATTTTTCTTTTAAGCCAGTTTACTCCTTTTTAATTCAACCCCATGTCTCTAATGCTGGCAAAAAGTAGTTCCATATCTCTAATGGTCAGGGAACAAAATAGGCCTTATTGACTGAGTGAGGTGGCTTTCTCCCAGTCACTACAGGTGTGGACCTTTCTTCAGACAGAAAATTCTCTTGGCAAAAGCCTAGATGCCCTTCAAGTGCCACTAAATACACACAAATATTTCTTTATTTTCCAAAGAAGGGTAGAGCAGTAAAAAATATATGCATTCGTGGAGGGGGATAGTTGGATATTTATTACTCACTCAGTCATACAAAGATTCCGTCATGTGCACACCCCTTTAAATAAGGAATACCGATTTCAACTCACCATTTCCAATCAGGGAAACATTCAAATTTCTTTTCTCATTAAAGCCTTTTCAACTTTCTGTACCACTACAGTCACTTATTTATTTAGTAGAACTACTCAGCTCCAGTTACAAAACATTATTCATGCACTACTAAAATCTTGGTTGAGATGGTCATGCTGCTACTGAAGGAGGCATCTTAGCCTGTTTGGTTGAAGTGTCAGCAAAGAGGTGAAATCACCATGTTTTGGTCAGAGATCAACAATAATGAGTTGGTTGGTCTCTTCAAATTGAACAAGGGTGTTAAAAATCTCTATTAACTACTAAAGACTGACATTTAGACAAAAAAAAAAAAAAAAAAGTGCCTGAAGCTATCATGGTTGTTGTATTTATCCTTGATAATGGATAGTAGAATAGCTGAAACCATTCAGGATATATAGAACAGTGTCCAGAAAATTTGTATGAATGCAAAAAAATTAAATAAAAAGCTTAATTGCAGTACCTTGTCAATTGTCTTTAATGAAACTTGTGTGTGTATATATATATATATATATATATATATTACACATACACAAAAACACTTGACCAAAATTGTGTAACTTTCCAACCATTAACTATATAACAATTGTAACTTATTGGCTTAAAGTCTTGGGATTCATGTACTGAGTGACTGACTGAGTGACTGAGTGAATGAGTGAGTGATATCAAGGAAAAAACTGAACACATCAAAAAACTTGGTTTTTTCCTTCTTGATATATGTATATGATATTATATATATATATATATAACATGCACACAAAAGAAAAATGAAACAAAGATATTTTTACCTTTTGCCATCTGTATGTTCAATGTCCAGCCACAGGACATCATAAGGTATATCATGGATGTCAAAATTTGCATCAACACTATAAAATAATAGAAATCAAAAGATTTTTTTTAATCTTTTTAGCAATAAAATTGAACATTTTTTTTCTTTTGTTTAAATTTTTAGCTGTCATTGTTTACGTTATTTACATTTTATATTTAATTCTATATCCTCATCTTTGTTGTTATCACAATATTTTGGCTATTGTGTCCTCCAACCTTCATTAGGTGCTTGTTGATCCAGGTAACCTTCAAAGAATTTTGAACTGAATACTTTATCTAATCTACGGTGGGGGGGGGTCACCACTAGATTAAATAAAGGGTTCAATTTGAAATTACCTGGATGATAAGCACCTGAAATATTGCAACAACAAAGATGCGGGGAATTATCCACACGTAAATAATGTATAAAAAATATTTGAGAGTGGCAATTGTTATACAGATTTATTCAAATCTATCTTCATCTTGGTTGCTAACATTTTACCTTCATTGTCAAATATGAAAAGTACCTATAAAAAGGTCAAAGGGCACAATGGCCAAAATGTCTATAACAACCAAAATGAGATTTACTTGCTGTTAGGTCTCCATGAAAAGGCATTTGCAATGTCAGGGAGCATGCAAGTTCAAATTTCATCAGAGGTGACATCTTTATTTTTCTATCTTTTCTTCTTAAACCACAAGATGCAAAAATCACTAAACTTTGCAATAATAAAAAGATAAACTAACCAAAAATAAATATTGAAAACTGCTGTGGAGTTGTAGAATAGACACTTCAACCAGAAAGAATCAGTTTTTTTTTCTCTTCAAATTGATTTTCATATTAATATAGATTAAGCACTGCACTTCATGAATAAAAAAAAAAAACTAAGTTTTCTACAAGTTAATGGAAGGGGCTTCAGTTTGCCATGTAAATTCATTGCAAACTTATCCCTCTATACAAGCCAAAACATATATCATCATACACGGTTTCTTAAAAAGAAAAAAAAAAAAAAAAATTAATATTTTAGTAATTAGTAATCCGGAGTACTAAATCGATAATAGCATATGAAAAAAAGAACAAGATCATGAAACAAAAAAAAAAAAAGTAATCCAATATATGTTATACGGAAATTTTTAAAAATACAATAAAAAAAATTACAGGCCATATCACTCAAATTTTAATGAAACTTGTTCGACTATATATGAATATAAATATATCACACATAGTACTAGTGTTAATAAAATTTGGGAATTCAGTTTTCCTTCTCCTAGATTGGTTGCTAGCCAAGGCTGAAAAGCCCCATCTGTCCTATTATTTAACCCATATCATTTTAACCCAGTGAACTCCATAGACCAGCCCACTACCTCTAGACATTTCTGAACTGCATTTTTGACAAAATAAATCCACAGAAAAGTGCAGCACCTGGTTATTATTCATATACGTTAGGATATGTAATTTGTTTAAATAACACAGCTTTCTTAACAAGTAAGCCAGATATGGGTTCCGCATGTTAATGCTTCAAGTAATTCAGAGAATTGTAACAAAAGGAGTCAATATTACTTGGTTTTCTAACCGACTTAATTGAGAAAGCAGTACAAACCTACCACTGAAATCATCTGACACACAAAAAAAAAAAAAAAAAAAAACCCCAACACCCTCCTCACACATGCCAGACATCCTCCAGGGCAGTGGAAAGTGGATACAGAAGTTAGCTATACACGTGTTGCTCTCATCTAGTGATCGTGTAGTAAGACAATGTACACTGGTTCAGTGTACATATGTTGCTCTCATCTAGTGATTGTGAGTTTAATCCCGGGATCAGGTAGTAAAGACAATACACAGTAATTCAGCAGAAACAAATCATCAACATATATCCCGTATCAGCCAAAATAATGAACACTTGAAGATGGTCAGAGGGTATTTGACCAAAACTGTGTCTATACCAACCTCTTCAAGATGATTTGAATAGAATAAAGTCTAAAGAGAAAAAAGTTATTTTCAACCAAGAAACACTGGAGTTTTATCTTTTGATTTTAAAAATTATAAATATTCAATAAAATCTTTTCTAACTTCATTTTCACAGTTCCTCTCTACAGTTTGAGAAAATCTTATTTCTTTCATCTGGAGATGGAAAATTTACGTTAGAGTCTATGATTGGTCAACATACACTGCATTATGAGATGTCAAAGATGGCAAGTATAATTTCAGTCTGAACAAGATATCCCTAGACATAGGCAGTGAATCCTCATATATGAAATAGAGGGTTCAATTTGGAATTATATGCAAGTTACCCAGATCGAAGCCTGATGAAGGCTGGAGGGCACAATGGCCGAAATGTTGTGACAACAACAAAAGATGAGGAAAATAATATGAATGTAAATAGTGTAAATAATAGCAAGTCTAGTTTTTCTGGGTTATAGACAACTGATTTTTAGTGAAACAGTTCTACGAGGCATTTACTTTTTTAAAATTATTACTGACTGCCAAATGGCATAAGTGTATTATTGGTCCATAGATTAAGAGGCTCAATCCAAGCAAAATTCCACTTGAAGGCCAGAGAATTAATTAAGGTTCTGCTGCAAAAAACAAACTGTTTGAATTGAACATCGTGGAAGACATTTAAATCAGTGATTGAATGAAATACCTGAAAGATTGACTACACTGGGGTGAAAACTTTTTATCCTAAAATAGCTGCTCCTATAATCAATATAAATAATCAAAAGATAAAATATATACTTACTTTCTTACATCTTCTTCATCATTATAATTCCATCGTGACTGATGATATGCTAAGGCATATAGCTGCAAATCAGAGAAAAAAAATGTATGAATTTCTAAATTTCTTTTAAGTAGAATTCTGTAAGTAAGTCAACTGCTTGATGATGAAAATTCATTCCTCTAATGTAATTCATTGGTGAATATTAAACAGAGACCAAAACATTATACATTGAACATTTCAGATCTGCTTATAACTTCATATTAGGCTGCAGACTTATTCATGCACTTGCATATCTTTGTAATTCACACAGGGATGCTAAAAATTTCTTGGCCTTACCCACTTTCCAAATACTGTTTAAAAAAAAAAAAAAAAAAATTAAAAAAAATTAAAAAAAATTAAAAGAGCTTTTTGGTAAGGCTAAGATATATATTATTACTTGAAATATTTTTAGTGGATACCCATGCTTGAAATAGAAGCTCTGTTTTTTTTTGTTTTTTTTTTACTTTAAACTATATGTATTACATCTACTAGTCCGTGCACTCAAAGAAAATGTGCTCTCTTGCAGGGTTTGAACCTGCAACCCCCTTTGTAGGAGAAATCAGTATTTGATCCATAGTGCTTTAGTCTGCTCACCCAGTGTGTGTCACATTTTAGCAAATTTTATCTATCCTTTTAAAGTAGTATACATACTTTAAAAAGATTGCTTGTTGAGGTATGAGGCTCTCTGCGGTCAAAAGCATACCAGATCAAACTGTTTTTTTCTTCCAAAGAGCATATTTTCTTTGGTTTTCTCAAGTACACAGGCCAGTAAAAGTAATACACACTGTTTAAAAATAAAATAAAAAAACAGGTCTTCTATTTCAAACAAGCATATACACTAAAGTAATATTTGAAATAAAAATGTCAGTTAGATACACACATTGCAGCAGAAACTTTTTTTTAAAGTTTTATTTGTATAAAACAAAAATACTATTTAAAAGTGGTATCACTTTAAGTACATCTTTTATTCTTATACACAAAATAAAGATATTGCTAAAGTTATTTGAATTAAAAACATTGTTGCTGAAACTGAAAATTTTAAATAGAGAAAATTGTCGGATCATCTTTACAACAGATAAAATGTCATACAAATGAAAGAACCAGTGTTAAATGCTGACAGTTGAAAAGAAATAGAATCAATTTAAAGAATATATAATGTAAGAAAGTTACAATGCAAAAGATTCCAGCCAAAATTTGATGGTACTTTAATATTAAACAGAGATTTCTGCAGAAATAAATGCAGAATGTCAGTACGTTTGTTATCCTAACAACAAACGTGGCACGCTGTACTGAAATTTTTGTTAGAGAATTTTAATTCTCTTAATAATTTGGATTATAAACTGTGCCACCTGTTTCAAAGTAATTAAATATCAGTTAACAATGTGCCATACGTGATACATGCTTGGATGATCAGATCTCTTACAATTCATGACTGCCTAGGCAGATTTTCCCCCCGCAGTAGGTTGCCAACCAAAGCTAGAGGACCCAGTATGTCCTGCTATACAACACATAACTGGAGAGAATAGATCATACCTTTACCAAGGGTATTTGTGAGTAAGTGAATGCAATGAATCTGAATGGAATTCGAACTCGGCTCTTCAATTTCTTATTCTAAATAGTTATTCATTACACCACAACGCACATAGACTTAAAAAAAAAAAAAAAAAAAAGGGAAGATAAACCGTATTTATTACATGCTAGAATCACTTCCCTTAATCTGTCTGTACTTTTTTTTTTTTTTTTTTTCAATCAATGACAATATTATAATAATAATAATAATTAGTATTTTCAAGTAATTATGATATAAATGTTATAAATAGGAAATTAGTTGAAATTTAAGTGGAGGCAGGATATAAGTATATCTATAAAACATGTGTAAAAAAAAAAAAAAAAAAAAAAAAAAAAAAAAAAATTATTCCTAAACAGGACTGGGTAACCTTTCATTGCAATCATTCCTAAAAGATTTGCAAAGTTTACCTAAGTTTAAAAGACAGGGAGAATAAAAATACATTACAACTATTAAATTCCTAAAATTCTCTTAACAGAATAATTTTAATAGCAGAAATTACAACCTAATCGAAAGTTGAAAAATTCTTTAAAACAACCAAAAGTTAAGAACTAATGGTCCAGGCTTCTTGGCTTGAGTCAATTCTTTGCTTTTTACTTTTAAATTCTCTAAAATCTCTATAACTATAAAGAAAGCATTAATCTAACCAACTCTCAATTTTTCTTGAGAGAGTTTCCCTAAATGCTTATCAAAGAGGAACTGCAAAACTTATTTCAAGTTTGGACTTTTTTGTTGTTGCTTGACAAATTATTTAAAATAAAATTAATAGAGACAAAAGTTAAATTAACATTTCAAGTGTTTCAGTGAAATGGTCATGAAGGAAAAAAGAAAAAAAAGAAAAAGTTCACATACTGGAGGTAAAGGTGTTGTGCCAGTGAGTGTGGCATACTGGCTGAATACATCTTGTGGTTTGGGGCCCAACATCACAAATATATCAATAATGCCACTTTCAGAAAACCAATGTGTATCAATTTGGGGAATATCCTGGTCACCCTTTACATAATCCAACATCTTGTTGAACAAATTCTGAAAGTAGAGTTTTATCCATTACACAAGATATATACAAATAATATAGAAAAATATATGACATACACAAATAAATAAAAATTAGCAACAAATTTGGTTAGATCAAAATTTTTAATATTTTTATCTTCAAGAATCACTTGACAAAGGGTAAGTAAAAATTTTAAGTAAAATCACTTAATTACTGTATACACAAAAGTATTTTGTCATTAAGCTTCTTGAGTGAAATATAATCAACTTTGGAGATTTCAAAATCTTTTTACCTTGAGCTTAAAGATAAAAATTAAAACTCAAGTCAAAAGTAAGATTTTGATATTAAAATTCATAACATTTAAAAGTGATCAATTTCCAAAGTTAAGAATCTGTATCAAGCTATTACAAATAAATCCATTTAATGTACTGATGACTACTACTATGTTTTCTCAATCAACTTTGAAATTCATCTTATTGTTATGAGATTCCTAATGAAAAATTGAGTAATTATGGGTCTCTCTCTATTTTTTTTTTTTTAATAACTCTGGGAAATCCAATAGAAGAATCATTTGCTGAATGGAAAAATGCTGTATATGTTAATAAAATTTAAAAAAAGAAAAAGAAAATAGAAATTTAATCGCTCTCATTTTGAACATATTAAAATTTCTTAATGCAATCCAGGTTTGAATCAATGAAAATAAAAATTTTTTTCTCAATTTAAGATTTACCAAATCACCATCAGATGAATGAAAATGAATAATAAAAATTTTTTTTTTTTACATAAAATGCATTTAAAAAAAATAAAAAAAATTCAAGCTTTACCTTGTCAGCAACATTAGAACTGATGTCAACCCAAGTCTCGGCAGCATTCTGCCAGAACACACCAACAGTCCTTTGCTCACTAAGAAAAAAAAAAAAAAAAAAAAAATAATGAAAACAATTTTAAGACTTTCACTTTATCAGGGTAACAGGGTCAAGCCCCCCTCCATTTATGTAAGGAAAGGTATACATGAGTCTTGTAGCATGAAAACAAATTAAAGTAGATGAGAAAAATCATGAAGAAAGGCTACATTGAACAGAGATCAATGACAGAAAGCACTAATCTAAGAATCTTAATTAGAACCCATAAATGAATGGTGGAAACAAAATCAATGAGGACTGTTTGTTATTTTGCACAGGACCAAGTAAATCCAATCCCCTCTGGCCCACCTAGCCCTAAGTTGACATGATTAATGGCTTCTTAAATAAAATATAGATCTGTCAACTTAAAGATGTCTACATTTCATACTATTCAGTTAATTCTCATGGAATTATAAGAAGGGTCAAAACCCGAGTCATGAGCCACTTGTCAGCATTAAGGCCATCTGGTTTTCAGACAATGGAAGAAGTTAGTGATCAAGTGCAAGAAAGTAGCAATACATCAATGTAAATATAAAGGCAAATTGTCTATTTAAGAGACACATGAGATGATAGTGATTTAGTTCAGCTGATTGCCACCTTAAGAGACTGCTAGGCAGACTATGAATAAACAAACACGACATTACTACCCTGCAGCATTGTATTAGCATAAAATAATACAAGACAGCCCTTATAATAAAAAGAAAATTGTACAGATCTAGAATGCTAACCAGGTGTTAAGTCTTTATTGTTCATAAGATATATTTCAATCAAAATAAAGTCAAGAGTCCTCGACATCATGACAATTAGTGAGTTGCGAAGACTACAAAAAAATCAATATTATCAATTATATCAATAGGAATCAACAGCTGTGGTCCCTGCACAGGTTTGTAATCACAAAACTCAAATGGTTTTACATTTTATGTATTAAGTCAGCAATATAAAATAGAAATAAAAATAACTGCCAACAAGATTTGAAAATCCTCTATGTGAACTTGCCCAATGAAGATGTTTTATCATTTTTCTAGACACATCAGCAGGCAAAATTCAAATTTAGTGATATACCTACATTCTTATTAGATTTTATCTATGCCATATTGTTTGTTTACACTATTAGTAGCAACAGTAATAGACAAAGTTTTTCTTTATAAAAAAAATTAAATAAAATAACTTTGGAAAATGATTGATATGCCTGTTTAACGGTATATCAACTCCTTATGGGACTTAAATAGATTTGGATGGAGTTACTACAATTTGTTAGTATGTGGGTATTGTTAATAATTTACATAAAAATGTATTTTGTTTTTGTTGGGAGGGGGTCACTATTTGCCTATAGCTGGAACCCTAACAAGTGATACCGCTCATAGTTAGGGTGGACCTGGGAACAGCAGCAATTACGAGGTGGTTCCATGCTACTCAAAACCTCCAATCTCCCAATCAGAGGGCTTGCTGATGGGTGCAGTTTATCATCATACCTAGGACCAAATATTTGAGGGGGGAGAGAGAGAGAGAAGAAAAAAAAAAAAAAAACAAAAAAAAAAAAAAAAAAAACTAATTTATTTACACATGCAAGTAAACCATGTCTAGAATGAGAGTATTATTTAATTTGAAATAAGTAAAGTAAAGTAAAGTAAATTAAAAAAAAAAAAAAAAAAAAAAAAAAAAAAAAAAGAGTGACTTATCACCACACAGTGATAAGTAACAGGTTAAATGTTGAGGATTGTAAAGGTATATTGGAAGCAGGAGATATCAAGAGCTTTGTTTATCACTCGAAATAGAGGGAAGTGCCGAGAGGTTAATGAGGGGAAAGTATTGAGAGAAGAATTTCAGGAGCTTTGTTTATCACTTAAACAGCCAGAGTTCATCTGTCACTGCTGTGGAATAACTTCCAGAACTATTCTTCTCCTACAAGCCACGGCAACATGAAGGAAGAATATGTATGTAGTAGATCACTGTACAGTGATAACGCAGACTTTTATAAAAATACATTTTAATAGGAAATAAATGTATTTTTATGAAATACCTTTTAATTTCCTATACAGGTAATTGATAAGTAACCATAAATTATTTTAGATTCTTGATCAAAATACAGAAAAAAAGATTATCACCAAACAGTGATAATGAAGCCAGTTCCTTTCATTCTGCGGTAACTGTAATAAAATCAGTAATACCACACTACAGTGATAATACACATGACCATAAAAAACAAAAATTAAAAGTAAAAGAAAGAGAATTAAGTGAACAAAAACTTAGAGAGTTGAGTTAATAAAAGGAAATAACTGAAACTGAGATATCCAGAAAAGGCATGGCACGTGGAACTAGAACAATTAACTAAAAAGGTTCGGTTTGAAATTATCAGTTGAGGAAGGAATGTACAATGGCCAAAACGTTGTGAATATGACAAAGATAAGGACAACAGACCGAACAAAGTAAATAGTTATAGTTACAATACCTCATCTCAGAAATATAGACAGAAATTCAGAAAAATTTGCCAACTTACTTATGAGCCAACATGAATGGCACACTTCCATACAAAGCCATTGGGTTATACAATTCATATTCGAAAACATCCAGGTTGTATAAACGGTAGGGATCTGTACTCCTAGAAAATGAAAAATAACAGTTCAAGTTAAAAAGGTCACTCCCCATTTACCTACTTTTGAATAATTCAATAGGAACACAAAAATGTTTTAAGAAAAATGTTTCAGGGAGTCTTAAATGCACTTTTACATTTTTTCAAAATCTGGTTCAAAACATCTTGTATCTGATAGTGTCAAGGTCGGGCTAGGGTTATATAAACCTCCTCCACCGGGGACAAGGGTGGGGTAGTAGTCTAAAGAACATTTCCATTAACTTTAGTATTTCAAAATATTTCATGTGACATTTAGAGTGTCTATGACTACATGTGTTCACACTAGAATTTGTGGTGACTAATTCCTACCATTTGAGACTTGGTACATATTAAGTTACATACTACTGCAATAAATTTACTTAAATTTATTTCATTAAAAAAATACTAGCTGAAAAAATCCTTTTTATTGATGCAAACATTAATTTATTTATTTATAAGAGAGGGGGTACAAATGAAAAGATTTGAAATTGACAGTTTTTTTTTTCACTTCAATAAAACAAACATTAACACATATCTTCCTTTCTTTCAGGTTCTCATTCGAACCAAGTAGCATCTCTGATATATCAGTTCAGTGTTTTCAGTCAAAACAGTCCATTATTTATGAGCTATTAACAGGGTATAACAGTTTTACAAAATAACTAACGAGGGGGGGATGGGCAAACAGAATTATCAAAGATGTTACAGATTTTTATTTGACCGTGTGTGCGTGAATAAATTAAATTTATAGAAAACCAGCCTTCCTGCTGCTGCGGTTTCTATCAATTTAGCATTGTCATGCAGTAAATTGCATTTTCTATCCCCAAACCCTCTTACATGTGTGGCAGAGAGAGCCTGGGAAACAGACACACACATACTTATTTTTAGTGAAATTGGATTGGATTTGAACAGTGAAATTAAATCAGAGCATTTTTGTTTACTGATGGTAAAACCTGATCTAGGGCAGAAGTTGTACCCATTGAATCTGGGTCATCAGAAGAGAATGGAAATGGACAAAATAATTTTTAATGATTAAAACTTGGAATAGAGCTGAGTAAACAAAGATGACATTTAGAATTCACATGATTTTGGTTGAAACAGCCATAACCCGTGATAATCACATGCGAAGTAGTAGGACCAAGGGTCAGTTATGACCAACCAGGTTTTTCTATATAAACGCGTAGTTATGCTGAAGAGGCAGACGAAAGAGAATTAGCCCGGGCAAGAGTTGGGCTAGAGACAGTGGAGAGCTGAGTCGGGGACTCAAGAAGGAGAGAAAGTGACGTCAGAAATTGGAATGAAGCATCCACTAACATGTGCTGTTAATATAAGTACCGCTGCTTCTGCTACATGAATATTGCTACTACTGTTACTACTGCTAAGGAGAAACGCCACTATAAACTTTAAGCTGCGCACAGAAATCTTATTCCTCCATCGCAACAGTTGTATATCGTTCTGAGACGACTTAACAACAAATTAATCATAACACACTCTCTCTGTCCAGAATCCAGTTTATGCGTTTTTACATCAATTACATTTCTTTTCTGTGACCCATTTCTTTTCTATACTATTCTTTTCTGCTATATAAAAGTCATTAACAATTCAATCATTGAATAGTTGGTTGTCCGGCTTTCTGCAGATTTTTTTTTTTTTGCTGGATTCTAAATTTCTTAGTGCAGACTCCCCAGCTGTGTCTACAGCTTCAGTCGACCGTGAATGGATGAACATCACTTCTGCTTTCTGGATCAAACCAAACACAACGTGGGCAGGAAGCAGGATTAAACCAGTGGACTGGTCAAATAATCTACAGATGCTCAGGGAACCTACGGCTACTCCCTTAAGTTCGGTTAGGACCAAGTAGACACCCCAACCCAGAGAGTAAGACGTCAGAGGTTGAGGGGCTGGGGCAAAAGTGTTAGACATGCATAAACATGGCATTGATAATGGGTCGGGGGGTAATATAAACATCCCTACCCAGGTCTCATAGTTTGCTAGGAGGAACTTTCTAGCATTCTTGCATGGCATCATTAGCTCCGATCTTTCATTTAGAAGCTCATGTTGGTCAAGAAATTGCATTATTGACAAGTTTTCCTCCTAATACATCTTGCACATTTTGTTTCCAATACTAAATGTATGAGTCTTCCTAACCACATCCTATTTCACAATAGGGAATGAAAGGAAAAAAAAAAAGTCCTATATATAATTAACAAGTGTTGTACTGTTTTTATACTTTGCCACTGTCAAGGATGGTTGTAATAACTTACTTTAAATGTTTCTTCTGTTGAACCAATATGCACTTTTTCTTAAACATTTTCAGACTCTACCCTTGCCCTTTCTATAAACTTAATATCCTTTCTATAAACTTAATATTTTAAATTTCTCTACACTTTCATTTTTTTAAATTGTATTGAGCACTTTTTCATTAATTTAACTGTTTCTTGACAAATATTCCTCTTTATCAAAAGTTTGAGGTTTTGAATTGAATTTTATATAAAATACATCGAGATATATCATGAAACATAGGGTATTATGCATATTTTTTTAATATATTAAATACCTGTTATTTAACATTGAGCACTTTTTTTCTTGCACTATAGGATATATATATATATATATATATATATATGCATACAAACGCTTGCTCATACATTTACATATATTTACCCATTTTATATATATATATATATATTGTATGACATACCTACAATTTCATTAGCCACAGAGGTGTGAAGCTAAAAAGCCCCCCTCCAAAAATTCTAGTTCGTAACCTCCTTTTCTCTTCCAATTCTTTCTGTCTTTCCTTCTCTTTCACCCTTAAACTAAGCGCCAACAAATTTGGTTCCAAAATCACAACCATCAAGCAATTGACCATAAGTTAACTCCAGGCACCATCAGGCTCTCCAGCTGCAATCATGTGATCAAACCCTACTGAGGGTTGCTTGGATCTTTGGCCATCACATAAACACATTGTGATTTTCACCCTATCCTCCTGCGTACCCACTCAAGGATGAAGGGCAAGCCATGTGACAAACTTTGGGGACAGCAAAAATAAAAAAAATAAAAATAAAAAAAATAAAAAATAAAAAAATAAAAAATAAAAAAATAAAAATAAAAAAAATAAAAAAAAAAAAAATAAAAAAAAAAAAAAAAAATAAAAATAAATAAAATAAAAATAAAATAAAAATAAAAAAAAAAAAAAAAAATAAAATAAAATAAAAAATAAAATAAAATAAAAAATAAAATAAAAATAAAATAAAAATAAAAAAAAATAAAAATAAAATAAAAAAAAATAAAATAAAAATAAAAATAAAATAAAATAAAAAATAAAATAAAAATAAAATAAAATAAAAAATAAAATAAAATAAAAATAAAAATAAAATAAAAAATAAAATAAAATAAAATAAAATAAAATAAAAATAAAATAAAAATAAAAAAAAAATAAAATAAAAAATAAAAATAAAATAAAATAAAAATAAAATAAAATAAAAAAATAAAATAAAATAAAAATAAAATAAAATAAAAATAAAATAAAATAAAAAATAAAATAAAATAAAAAATAAAATAAAATAAAAAATAAAATAAAAATAAAAAATAAAATAAAATAAAAATAAAATAAAATAAAAAAAAAATAAAATAAAAAAATAAAAATAAAATAAAAAAAAAAAATAAAAATAAAATAAAAAAAAAATAAAAATAAAATAAAAAAAAATAAAATAAAAAAAATAAAATAAAAAAATTTAAAAAAAATTTTCTGTCCGACCAGCAGCAGATGAATCGCTCAGATTCTAAATGGACTGCCCAATGAAATAAAGAAGAATGAAAGGACTACTACTAAACTGAATCGACCAATGAATGCCTGTATGTGATGCTGTGGATACCAGACCATTCCGAAAGAAAAGAACTCCAGGGAAATTGCCAGCCAACAAAATAGTTTCCACATAAGGAGTCTAGCTTTGATGAATTAGAACACCGCATGGAGATATCCTCTCGATTGACCCATCAAGACAGATAAGTCGATTTCTTAGTTTGATTTTGTTATTGTATTTGCTTGTACCTTCTTTTCTTTTATGATACCTTCCCCCCTTGGTTAGACATTTTTTTTTCCTTTTCTTTATCTGTTTCTATATTTGTAAATAAATGTTTTATTTTGAAATCCATCATCTTATGTCCGTTTTTTGCCGAGTCATTTGCGTCGCTTCCACCCCTGAGTGAAGACAGAGAAAGGATCCTACCTTTGCCTATTTTTTTTTTTTTTTTGAATGCATGGTTCACCTATATGCTACAAGTTCGTAACAATATATATATAAAATTATGTAATTCAATGTATACCAAGGGGAAAAGAATTTTTTTTCAGTGAGTGTTCCATAGATATCTAGAACAACAATTATCAATAAGTAAAAAATTCACAATACTTACTTATCTAGTTTTGCAATGTGAATGCTCTTTGCTGAAACTTTTAGGTCGTTTAGATAAGAATTGTGAATATTATATGTTCCTTTTTGAAGCTTTAATAAAATCCTGTACTTCCTATAAATTATTCAATATATATATATATATTTTTTTTTTTTTTTTTTTAAAGCCTCCACTTTATTTACACTTACTTTGTTGATTTCAAAGCAAAGTCATCTGCATGTTCTGGTATACCATAGACATGTTCAAATCCAGGGAAAGAGATATCTATTCCAACTGATGAGGGACCTGTCAAAACAAGAAAGAAAAATAAAATCTCAATATATTACTTTATATCTATACCTACATATAAAAGTTGTAGCTTCTGTCTGTTATCAAACTGCTCCTAGGGTTTGGGAGATGAATCCCCATAACTATAGACGAGAGAGAGGCGCGAGGGGGATAGAGAGGGGGACGAGAGAGAGAGAGAGGCAGGGGGGATAGAGAGGGGGGACGAGAGAGAGAGAGGGGCGCGAGGGGGATAGAGAGGGGGACGAGAGAGAGAGAGGGGGGGGATAGAGAGGGGGGGACGAGAGAGAGAGAGAGGCGCGAGGGGGGATAGAGAGGGGGACGAGAGAGAGAGAGAGGCGCGAGGGGGGGAGAGAGGGGGGACGAGAGAGAGAGAGGCGCGAGGGGGGATAGAGAGGGGGGACGAGAGAGAGAGAGGGGCGCGAGGGGGGGACGAGAGAGAGAGAGAGGGCGCGAGGGGGGGACGAGAGAGAGAGAGGCGAGGGGGGGGACGAGAGAGAGAGAGGGCGCGGAGGGGGGGGAGAGAGAGAGAGGCGCGGGGGGGGGGACGAGAGAGAGAGAGGCGAGGGGGGGGACGAGAGAGAGAGAGGGCGCGAAGGGGGGGACGAGAGAGAGCGAGCGGCGCGAAGGGGGGGGACGAGAGAGCGAGCGGCGCGAAGGGGGGACGAGAGAGAGCGAGCGGCGCGAAGGGGGGGACGAGAGAGCGAGCGAGCAGGGGGGGGGGACGAGAGAGCGAGCGAGCGGGGACGAGAGGAGGGGGGGGGGAACGAGAGCGAGCGGCGCGAGGGGGGGGGGATGAGAGAGAGAGAGCGGCGAGGGGGGGGAACGAGAGAGAGAGCGAAAGGTATGAGGGGGGACGAGAGAGAGCGGCGAGGAGGGGGGGACGAGAGAGAGAGCGAGGGGGGACGAGAGAGGGGACGAGAGAGGGGGACGAGAGGGGGGGGGACGAGAGAGGGGGACGAGGGGGGGATAGAGAGGGGGACGAGAGAAAAGTTGGTTGGGTGGGGATGTTACTTATCATTTTACCATTTGGCTTTGAATCCACAAAAGACTTGAAGGTTTCTTCCCACATGTCTAGTTCAGGGCTTTCTGTCTCAGCAGCTTCAGGTTTTTCTTCCTAAAAAGAAACAAAAAATAATTTTAACTGTCAACTTCATTCTCTTATCAATTTTTGACTATTTTCTCCCACCTTAACTTTTACATGATAATTTGAGAGAGACAGACAGAGAGCGCAAGAGGAGAGACAAAAATAAAAAAAAAAACTCTTTCAGATAATGTTTTGACATTGTAAAATATAGCAGATACTATAAGAATAAGTAATCAATACAATAGTTGAAATGTGATTTTAAAAAAAAGAAAAAGAAAGAGAGATAAAATGGTTGAAATATTAAAAAGATCTCAACCTAATGAAGAATGACTAACAAAAAAAAAAAAAAAAAAAAACACACAATTCTAACATTTGGGCAGATTGAGAAATTGGTCAAAGTCAGCAATAAATTTTCATTACACTCGCATATAAATAAAAAAAAAAAAAAAAAAAAAAAGAGAGAGAGAGAGAGAGAGAGAAACTAAAGGTCAGTTTCCATCACACCCACCTTTTTCTCTTCGTGGTTTTCTGCTGGTTCTTCCTGCGCAGGTTCAACTGGCTGAGCTGCTCTGAAAGGTGTTGAAAACCAAGAATATATAGACGTTCCAATCGTAGACAACACACCCTAAAATTGACAACAGTTGGGGAGGAAAAAAAAAAAAAGACACCTGCCAGTAATTGATAACCTTTTGCTGACCTAGCAGCAGTTGTAAGTAAGAAACAAAAAAAACTGCCAAGTTAGTACCAAAACCTGGAGAGGATAAGGGAAAACCAAGCAAACCAAAAGAAAAAGATTTAGCTACCAAACTAGCAGAAAAAGATATAAATGACTTTTAGTAAGTACAAACTGTTCTTCTATAAAACCCTCAAAGTGTATCGATGTATGTTTTATATATTAATATTTGATGGCTTAATAGAAATGTCTACATTGCTCAAATTTTAGAACTTAAAGCAATATTTTTATTATTTTACTGGCATTAGTAAGCAGCATGTGGTGGTGTGGGAATGGGGTAATGGTTAGTGGCTCAGACCAAGAAGTCAGTAAGCAGAGTTCAAATTGAAGTCTATTACATTCACTTTTGTGCAAATACCCTTGGGAAAGAGTATGAGTGTATCTTCTTCCAATTATGAGTTAAATAGTAAAGGATACTGGTTCATCATCCTTGGTTGGCAACCAGTCTTGGAGAAGGAAATCAATTCCCAAACCTGGGTAGATAGGTGTGTGTTAGCATGAGAAAAACAAAGTTATCTAAGGAAAGGAAAACCTTGATAGAAAACCAACCTTTCTTCAGAGCATGGTAGTATAGGGTGGGCTGAAAAAATCATAGGCCTGACTATGAAGGTGTGATGCTAGAACTGAAATCTTGCATGCATTAATTTCAGCTCATTGATAATTGCATAGTTTCTTTCCAGGTAAACATCTGATTATTCAAAAGACACTTCAAAAGCAACTAGTAGCAACTTATCTTGAAAATGGACAAAATTTGCCATTGTGGCATTTGTTTTCAAATACCTGCAAAAACAAAGGTATAGCTGACATGGTTGCTACATTACGGGATGAGGCCTCAGCTTTAACAGTAATACAAAAATTGGCAGCTAATTTAAAAAGGGAAGGGAGAGTCTTGAAGAGGACAAAGTCTGGGCATCCTGCAACTGCTACCACAGAAGAAAACATTGATTGTGGTGATGGATGACAGACAATTGACTATAAATCAAATAGCAAGTGCTATGAGCATATCCTATGAGAGAGTTGAAAATATTCTGCACACTAGACTTGGCATGACAAAGGTTTCTGCTTGGTGGATACCACATCTTCTGACACCTGATCTAAGGCACAAAGGTTAATCAAATTGTTTGAGGCAGATCCAGCTGGTTTCCTTGAACGTTTCCTAATCCAGGATGTGTTGGTTTTATCACTTTGAACAGAGCCAAAGAGACAATCCATGAATTGGAAACACCCCTCCACACCTGCTCCAAAGAAGGCCAAGGTCATTTTACCTGCAGGGAAGGTGATGGCCTCAGGTTTTTAAGATACAAAAGGTACTATATTTATTCATCAATGGAGAGTACGATGCCAACTTGCTTAGGCAGTTAGGAAAGGCTATTAAGACCAAACACTCAGAAACACTGACAAAAGGGGTCTTGCTTCATCAGAACAATGCTCCAGCACACAAGTCTTTGGTTTCAATGGCTTCTGTGCATGGTTGGCTTTGAACAGGTCAATCGCTCTCCTTATTCTCCTGATCTATAATCTGTTCCCCAACATGAAGAAATACTGGGCTTGAAACTAGTATTGCAGTGAGGATGTCATATCTGCTGTTGATATTTTTGACCAACAGAATGAAAAGTTTGATGCCAGATTAACTGGAAAGAAACAATGTAGTTATTAATAAGAAGAGTTAAAATTAGTACAGCTCTAGCATCACTCCTTCATAGTCAGCCTATGAACTTTTCAGCCCACCCTTATAGAATATGAGGTCAATTATCCCCACCAATTCAATTACAGAAACTTCTCCAGAGGCTTTATGTGCCATGAGGTACCAGGCTAATAACAGTAATTATTGTTATTGCTGTTATTGTTATTGTAGTAGTTACATCAATCAGAAATAACAAAGACACCTCCAATGAAATGATTATTTTCTATTTGCATTCAAAAATTAATTTGTCAATCCAAGAAATATGTGTACCATTACACCTAAAGCTAATGATTCTTTACTAATATAGGCCTAATAAACAGGGGTAGGTATAACTTTTTTTTTTTTTTTTAAATTTGCCAACCACCCACATTTATTGTGCAGCAAAAAAAATGTTGACACCTTGATTATTCAGCTCACCCCTTGTATTAGATACCTAGGAGTATGAACTAAGTTACTTGTTTATAAAGTTTTGAAATTTATTTCCATTGTTTCATATATTTGGGATTTATATAGATATTTAATATCATTGGTGGCCCCCCTTACATACATGGAGGGTTGAGAATCTGTTTAATATGTTACCTTGCTTTCCTTCTCAAATAGAATTATCATAGTATAACAGAATCACAAGACGAAGTGATATGGTCTTTTGTTAGTAGCATCAATGTGAGAACAGGAGAGATTGAAATGTTTTCTTATTCACTTCTGTTGTAAAAAGGTTTGGTTGGTTTTGTTTAGGGACATATCAATCTCTAGGGGTTATTTAAAGCCAAAATCTAAATATTTTGAGCATAACTGTAGGCCTTCAACTACAAATAAAATGTATTATTGTTCATTTTGATTTATAAAAATGTATTTTTATGTTTTCATAGTGTTTTGTTTTTGTTTTGTGGTTCACTATTTGCCTATAGCTGGGACCCTAACAGGTACTACCACCCCAACTCAGGGTGAGCCTGGGAACAGCAATTGAGAGGTAGTTCTATGGTCCTCAAAGCCTCCAATCTCCTGATCAGGGGGCATTGCTGCCAGATATAGTTTATCATCATACCCAGGACTGCGTAAAAAGAGTTAATGTCATGGCTGACAATCTTTAAAATGACCTCGAGTAGAGATTTATTTTCAAAGCAATATAAATTCTTGTTTGTTTTATTATTATTGTAAACTCTCAAGCCAAAGAAGCTAGTACAACATTATCATCTCTTCCCTGTTCATTAATGATCTGTCAGTAATGAAAACAAAAGGAAGAGAAGCCTGCATTAATGCCTTCTGAGAAGAGCATTACTATAAAGAGAAAATAATCATTTGCAGTCAGAATTTAAATTACTTGTTTTGTTACCACAGTACCTCTACTGATTTATTTTCCCTTTGTTTTTTCGCCCTTTTTAATTTAGCTACATTAAATCAGTTTTTGACCACTTCTTATTTAGCCTGTAACAATTATGAGACTTGTACAATAAAGTACAGACTCGAAACATGTGGTTCCTACTTTTTTTTTTATCCTCCTAAATCCATCCCCAACAATAACATAACTAGTACATATCTTTCTAACCTCTTTCTCTTATATATCATATTTGAACATTGAAGGTAGCCACCTTTTTATACATTTATTTTTGCTGTTGTACTCTGTCATGTTGAACTCCTTTCATCACATGTTGACTGTTTACACACCATTCTTAAAGTGTAATTTCATGCAATTTTCTTCCTTTCTGAGAACTTATCACTGTAAATTTTATATACATATTCATGATACAATGATATATAATTTTGTATAATTTTATATATCAACAAACAATATTTAGAAAAATAGCATGACAAATTGGAAAAAGTCTTTGTGATGCATTTCATCCATTAGGATTTCATCAAACTGGGCTTTATTGATGTTGCCACAACTACACATGTGCATGAAATGAAAGATGTTGGTAGTTTCAAAATTTTTGAAAGAAAGAATATTTTTTTGAGTCTAGCCAAATTCATCTGTATTCTTTTTGAAACTACCAGCATCTCTCGTTTTGTGCACATGTAGAGACATGGCAACATTAAAAAAGCCCAGTGTGACGAAATTCTAACAGATAATATGTGTCATGAAAACGTTTTTACAATTTGTCATACTATTTTTCTAAATATATATTCATATAAGCAAACTACTTGCCACTCCCTTCATCCATTAAGACCCTCAATTTCAGTTATGTTCAGCATTCTGACCTCTTTGTCATATTTTGCCTTTCATTCCTTTTTACTTTTTTATTGTTATCCTGACTCAATTAGTCTCAAGTTCACATTTATTTCTTTTTCTAGCTTTGGTTTTCAATAAATGTGCTGATGAACAGAACTGTTTCCAGAGTATTGATTGCCGTAAGGTGGTTATCTGGCTATCTGGGAAACGAACATATACTGGAAGACAGAACATTATTCATCAATCAGTTTTCAAGTAACTAATATGTATTATGGTTCTTTGTATTAGGTGAATTCATAAGTAAACTGTTTTGGGGAATCAATCAAATAACAAATATTATCTTAACTACTAATTACCAGTGGTAATTATGAAAAAATTTGGATTAAACCAACATTCCTGTTTTCACATCAGTGGCAACATACAGTGAAAAAAAAAAAAAAAAAAAAAAACTCTTCCACAATAACACAAGAATAACAGCAGAAAAAAACTTTTGGAAATCGGTTCATCTGTTCTAGCCTACCTGCCATATTCATTTGACCTTGCACCGCTTTGATGGGGATTGATTCATTCAGTTTTACAGCTTATCAACCCTTTAGGGGTTATTTAAAGCCAGAACATTCTGGTTTGTAAGAATATATAATTTTTTTTTTTTTGCAAATGAATATTACATTAATTTTTTGGAGAATAACAATGATTTTTTTTCAGATTCACGTGACTATTTAACCCATAGTTGGGGCAGGAGATGGATTTATACCTTTCCCAAGGGTACTTGCATGGGAGTGTATATAAAAAACTCAACTAGAATTCAAACATGGCTCTTCAATTTCTTTTGATGTGGAAAACTTTCCCTAATGAAAGTTTGTTAAATACCTTTTCACATTTAAACCTGCAAATTTTACTCAAAAGTTACTGGAACTGCCTGATTAAATCATTGCAAGTAATGGTGAATATACAATGCAATTCAAACTATTTTACTTTTTGG